GGGTCTGAATACTTTCCGTACCTACTGTATGTACATATACACACATAAATGATACATACTTACACACACACACATTTGAGTCATATCAGAGTATGTAGAGAGGCAGATGAACAATTCACAGCATAACATATAATATTAGGTTGGGGAGACCAGGACATTTTCACCATACATGGTAGGTCGGGAAATGATTGATAATACTTTGTAGATTCGATCAATAAATGTTTCCTTTTGTAGATTAAAAAATGTAATCTAGGCAGGATTACATTCCCTCCAAAACACATTTGGTAATGCAAACCTGTTTTGTATTGATGTATTTTTAAAGAAACAGAGTTGCATTCAGCATGAACTTTTTATTAAACAAACCATCCAGAGACATTCAACATGGAAGATGTCAGTATGGCAGTGGAACTGAGTGCTTATAGCTTTAAAACGTTAACACTCCATATTCATCACACTATGAGCTGCCAGCTAGATCCTGCCATGGCCTCTTGGATGTTTTAATTCCAATTCTATCCCTCTTTCTGCTACACTTTGAGTCTAATTCTTATATAATCTCTGAACAAATCTGCTTCTGTTTTGTCATCTCTATCCCTCTCTTTAATCTAACACTCCTCCTCTTTCTGCTGAACTAGCAGTCTCGACATGTCAAACCCACATGGTTTCTATCATGACAACAGGTGGCCATCTAGTGTCTGACCTTTTTCCCGGGTTGCCAGTTACAACCAGAAAGGCCCCGTTCTGTTCTGACAAGCTCACTTGTGAAACAGGTCCATAAAACAGTCTTAAGCAGAGAGAGGCCCCATGTTTTGTTCCTTTGCTGGGGTTTTGCTGACATTGTGTGTCAAAGCAAGGATGAGATCCCTTCCAGGATTTGTGATTGATTACACCCGTCAAGCAGCGGGGAATTAAATCACCAGCGGTCTTTGAATGAATGAGGGCTGGAGGATGTGGTTTTTGGAAAGATGACCTGTAAGAATTGAAAATCAGGGAGCAGTGTTTTCTATATAGAATGTGGTTATTTCAGAATGTGACATTATAGCTCTTTATAACCAAAGGGGGTAGACCCACTGATATGATGAATGGATTGTGAACAGACTGATCCCTTCTCACCTCACACACGCACATAAAACGTATATTTCTCCACATGCAAGTGGCCAAACTCACAGTGTGCTGTATTCCTGTAACTCCTACTAACTCCTTAGCTACTGACTTGCAATTTAGGAATGATTAATTCACTCATAATGAGGCTAACATCAGATATCTGCCCCAGTGCAAAACTCTATCACACACATATGGTGTCTAAAGGTGTCTATTTCACAAGTTGTCTTTATTCTAGTGGTGAGTGAGTGAGGCTGGTGTGACTGCGGCCAGCTGTGTGTGTGTGTGTTTGGCCTGAGACTATAAGGCTCATTAAGGCTGTAAATATGCCACAGACACCTCGGCATTGCACCACTAAGGACCTGCATAAATCTATTTGACTGCAGTGTGTTTGTCAGCTCAGGGCCTAGTGTGTGTGTGAGACACCAGTGAATGGGAGACTACCAAGGCCCTAATAAATCTGAAAACCACACGAGAGAGTGACAGGCGATACAAGGGGAAAGATGTGTGTGTGTTGGTACAGAAAAAACAACCTACCTGACCACTGTCTTTTCAGACCGGAAGAAAATGAGTAGAAACATGTTTGGGGCGTGCAGCAGGAGGAACAGTGCAGCAGCGATCAGGTTTCTGTCTGTGGAATGTAGTGCAACACATGAGCCAAATGAGGTTTTACAAAACACTCAGTTCGTCTCATGGCTATAAAAGCCACTTTAGTGAAGGTTGTATTTTGTGGTTGCAGCAAATAATCACATTAGGCACTGTGTAAAGCCCCCAGCTCTAAAACCATTTTTCTTGGTCTTGGTTTAAATCAGGACCTTGGACAGGGCTTCAAAGAGCCCAAGTGGCCTGATAGTATTTAAAGGCTTTCAAAAATATACTGCATACTAATGACAGAGATACCAGCACATCTGATGTACTGGGACAAAAAAACAGCTGAATCTATGTCCAGACTCAGCCTACTCTACACAAATGAGATACGGTTGGTATTAGTTAACGTCCCCATTATGTGACCCTTGGCTATCTGATTGGACAAATGTAACACGCTGGACAGCAACAAGCAAAGAACACATAAAACATAGCATAGAAACAAATAAAAACACAGAATATACATATCATAAATCAAAGTACTAAAGAAACGGAAGAAATTACAATGCCAAAACCCAAAACAGAATTCAAACTAGAAGGCGGTGCGATACAAGTGCATTTTGAGGTAAGATTTGATAATGATGTGGTTGCGGTAATTTTACAGTAAACCTCACACACTTTTAATTAATTAAATAAAATTTAAAAAATAAATACATGCCAGATTCACCCTTTCACACACATTCACACACATTCACACACCGATGCACAGCATTAGGAGCAATTTGGGGTTCAGTATCTTGCTCAAGGATACTTCGACATGCAATGGTGGAGCCGGGGATCGATCAAACAACCTTCCGATTGGTGGACGACCCTCTCTGCCTCTGAGCCACAGCCACAGTGCACTGCACAGTATCGTGGAATGCTTGTCTCTAGTCTCACCATTAGGCATGGCATGGTTAACTGACTAAGATCTTTCAACACAAATGATTCTAACCCTTAAATGGATACCATGGCATTAGGGCTTTTACAAACTCTGTATCTACAATATAGTACCTTATTATGTACGTGGAATTTGATTCAAATTGTATTTAATTAGACGAGATCAGATTCATTCAGTGTTCTGAAAATGCCAAAGAGTGTACAAGCCTACATGTCAAGGTATCCCTTTAAGAGTTCACTTCAGTCTAACCGTCTTATTGACCCCTGTTCCTTTTGAATCTGCATTGGTCAATAGGGTGACAAAGGAAGTATGGGGATTCCTGGGAGAATGGTGAGTGACTTGGGCTTGTGCATCAAGCACAATGTAGCAGTGGTTGTATTCAATATGATATGGCCAATGACAAAAGAAACATATGAGTTCTAAGGAAAGCAGTGACTTGTTGCTATGTTTATGAATTATTCATAATAATACTGCATACCTAAAGTTCACCCCAACAGTGATTTCACTTATTTTGGCTGATAAGAGCTCAGGGGAGTGGGTTTATACAGACTATTTGGTTGACATCTTGCTCACCAAATTACACCTTTATCATTCTAATTAGTTCAAAGAATCCTGTGACCTCATTCACACCTCAGCATAGTTTGGTCTAGGGATGAGCGAGTACACCATTATCTGTATCTACACCATTACCTGTTCAACCAACTAATGGACGGAACTAACCAGAGGTCTGATATTGATATTGGTTGATCAGACTTTGTTATTTTTATAGTATTTACAGAACAGCAATTTACTTTTATTTAGTTTTTTAAATGAACATTTTACTACGTTATCTGTACCAGATACTCGTTTCAACCCTAATTTTGCACATCTTCTACCTGAACAGAAATCTCAGGCTTTTAACTAAATGTATCATTGATTATATGAATATTAGAAGTACAGCATCACTGTTGTTAACCATTTGTCATTGGTCAGCTTTAAGTGAGCATGTTGATAATGTAAAATTTATAATTGTTATTAGTTCATTGTGGTATGACTATACAAAATACAACTATTACCACAACTTCAGATACTCTTAATGTTACTATTCATATTATGTATAGTGGTTGTTTAATTAGCCCCACCTTTTCAGTCTCATTTTATAAAATACGTAGTGATACTGGCAATGTGCCATATTCTCATGCACAGAAACAGCTTAAACACATACCCCTAATGTGACTTTCCTGCAGCTGTCAGTTGTATATAATATATTCTTTAGTTGTTGGACGTTGCTGTGTTTTAAACTCAATGTCCTTTTCAGCCCACCCAGGCTGCAATGTATTACAAAATCTGTTTTACTTTGGGATTACTTCCAGACATTACTGTGCAGTTAATGGCCTGTAATTTATAGGGTTACCACACCATTTATTTGGTTAGTTTTGAACATTTATGTTGGATACAGCAATATTTCAAACTATTTGCCACATGTGGGTAATATATAACAGTGGATATATTTTATTCATATGGACACTATGGTCTCCACAGCTTACAGGCCAAGGGTTTGAATAGTGACTGAATAAGGTCTTTCATAGCAGATATCTTATATTTATATTCAAAAGAGCAGACTCATGTGTAATTGGTCATTTTTTTTGTCTTATTTTAAATGAAACAACAGTATTGTTGAACTGACATGATGATCTAACTTCTTCTACCCCCAAAATAGAGCTGTGTTGCCCTCATGCCCCCTCTCAAAGAAAGTGTAGTTAGATGTTAAACCCTTTCTCAAATTTGTTGTATCCATTAGGAAAGTCCATCCTGATGCTGCACTTATTGTATCTCTCCTCAGGATTCATGTTGCTCTTTATCACACAGCAATTTCCAAGGTCTCAGTATGCTCCAAGCGAACTTGGTTGTACACAATGCCACCACACCAAATCTAAACGTCCATCCAAGGACTCTCTGAATTGTACAACTGGGGATAACATTTGGACAGTGTCTCCTTGAATGCAGTTACAGCATTGCACAAATGATAAGTGATGAAAGTGGCTGTATTCTAAAGCTGCATAAAATGGGCATGAATGAATCTGTTAAATAGTTGGACCCCTCATTCCACTGTCAGATGATCTGACAAGCACTTTGCTTGAAGCACACTGAAGCCTATAGCTTCCACTTAGCCCCACTTAACTTACACATACACTAGCCCCCCTTAGCTCATTCACCACCTCCCCATCACTAGTCCTGAGGATGCTGCATGCCCTGAACCCTCTCCATGTCTGTAACACTGGTTCCTCTCTCTCTTGTGTCTCTCTCCTCTTCACACCTTTTTGCATGCGACTGCTGTGACTGATCCCAGGGCTTAAAAGGACAAGCAGGGGAGAAGGTAAGTTTAGGAGCATGTGCCATTAGCAGAGAAATTTAGCAAATTACCAGCAGTCAAAGACAAACTGCTTTGTCCTATCATTTTCTGGCTTTGGTTTTGTGTCCTTTGTTGCTTTGGCCATCTCAACCCTGTCTGCTTGTATCAGCGCAAGTAGGATGAGTCAAAAACAGTGCAATATAAATAGGCTGTCATTTGAGACATTGCTAAAACGTGACTTAGTGGGTGGTGGTGTTGGTGGTTAGAAGTGCAGAGCTGCGCAGTGGATTGTACGCACAGGTAGCATGTGATTTATATCAGGGACTCAGGTCTGTATTTTTAAACAGCATGAGGGTCACATTCTGTAAATGGTTTCCCACCCTGGTTGGATTACCTGAACTCTTTACACCATGAAACACAATAGTAACAATTTGTCACATAAGCGTCTGAAAGTTCTAATTTAAGACTCCCTAAAGAAAGTGGAGAGACATTTATAGAGGCCACAGCAGAGTACATGAGGAGATTCTCAAAGAAAATGTAGAATGAGTAGAGTTATGTATTGAGATAAATAAATGTTGTTACTGGTGCGTTGCGCAACAGTTAAATCTCAGCTTTCTGTCATGTTGAAGTTACCATAAATATGAGCTGCCAGCTGGGAGAGAAAAGATTGATATGGGCCTCAAGGTGGAGATTATATGTAAGTACTGTAGACTCTGATATATCCCACATGGCTTCATGAATTGCAGAAGTGTGTCAACAGAGACAGTAAACATGCAATACATCTGCCAATGTCAGCAGTCCGAGAACATAAAAATCTAAATGATCACTTTTATTTACCTCAATGTAATGAACTCCACCTGCAAAGGGTATGTGATGTGTGCTGCAGTTAGTAGAAGGCTGATTTTAAGTTCATCAGTGAAAATGAACTCGGATGTGGGGGTTACATTAAATTAAATGCATTAATGAGACTTAAAGGTACCCTGTGGAGTGTTTGATCACTTTTAGTGCCATGTAGCAATGTTTTTAGGAGTGAGTTCCTGTTTTGTTTGTTCTCATAGGGACGCATGCCAATAATGCACACTATTCCACCAATCAAGGGGTGGCCTTAACATGCCAGGAAATGGAGCAATACAACAAAAAGGCAAGGAAAGGAATGTTAGCTAATTAGCATGGATGTAAACAATCCCAAGACAAGTCAACTTTTAAAATTGGCTTTGCAAATGCTCTCTGAGGAAGGAAATGTATTCAACACATTTATAGGGCCCCAAGGATACACACAATTTGTGTTTTTCCAGCACATTGGTTCTTCACCCGGTTCTTGAAACCTTGGTGCTGTCTAACAAACCAGGCCACCAGTTTTGAGCAGAACCATTGTAATAAAGGATATGTCATCAACCGATGGCTCAAAGAAAAAGAATGCTTTTTTCTGTTTTGCTTGTCAGGTTCCAAACCAATTAGGAAATTTGCAAATGCACTTGTCACTAACTTCATTCATTGTTCTCACTGATCATATAACCCAAAACGTTGAGCAATTTATTTTCAGCAACACCAACAAATATTTTTTATATTAACATTAACATAGTTAGCTTATTGTATTGTTTTTTTAGCCTATTTTACCTCAAAGTTTTAGTTTTGGTCAATACAAGAGGAAGGATGATCTTACAGCAATTTGTTAAATATGATCCAGAAACACTTTGGTAAGAACATTAAGACACAAGCATGGTGAGACTTTTGTATTGTCAACATACAAAACATAGTTTGAATAAAACAGTGCACTAACTACAATAATGTTTGATGTTATTTAAGGTTTATATACCAAACTAATGTGACATTATGGTATTCTGGAAATGATAAGGTTCAGTATAATAAACATAAGTCAAAATATTGCTAAATTTGGCTGAATCATAAAAGTCAGAAGTGGTGCTAAATGAACATGTGTTTGGGAACCAAAAGAGCAGACTCTTATTGATGAGCTGAGTCAAATGATCTGGCTCACTAAAAAGAGCTGGAATTCCCATCACTAGTTTCCAGCAATTGCCCAGCCCCAGTAAGCAGACAGACAAGGTTAGCAACTAGCTGGTGGAGGAAACAGAACATTTATCAGCTAATGAACCAGATATTTTTCTCAGAAGTTAAAGGAGACCAAAACGATATGATAATAATTTTTGTGTCTGCAGGATGTGTAAAGAGGCAACTGTTTGCTAAGATGTTCCCCATAACAAAAAGTGTGTCCCCTCTGTGTTCCGCTGCTCCCAGGTTGGCCAAAAAAAAAAGTGCTTGTTGAATTTGAACTCTTCAAAACTGTTCCTCTACATTTGGTGAAGCAATCATAACATCCCCATTTATCAGCTGTATCAAAGCCACAAACAGATTTACAGATTTGTTCTCATCAAATGCAACCTGATTTGTGACGTGTGGTGTCGAATGCGCAACGAAAGTGGAAACACTCAGCACATTCTTGACTGCCATACCACAATGACAAGTGTGGTTGTTAGCCAAGCAACATAATATGATCAGTCAGTCAAAACAAAAGTAGTTTCAGCCTCGGCCTGACTCGTGAGAGAACAGAAATAGTAACCTGACCACCAAGACGGTAAGCGGAGGAGCAGACGATGTAGTGGCGTTTTTTTGGATCATAGCTCTACATATTGGCATCCAAAATAATCTATTGGCTTCCTTTTTATTCTTAAGCAGGGAAAATATTGTAATAGTGTGATTGAGATTTGTCCCATGTGTGGAAAGTCTCTTACAGTAGCTGCCAGGACAGAGAGTATCAAGAAATACAGGAATTATGCACAGCAGACTTGGCTGTAGATAATCTCTTAAAAGGAATCATCTTCCCCAGGAAAGGAAGAGTGGGGCAGGCACAAAGAGAAGAAGTGAAGATGAGCTTTTCCAGAACACTGAATTCTTAAAACAAATGATTTCTGTTGGTTTTGTGGGATAGTGTTTGGGGCAAGTGACTGGCAAGCTGAACCCGGCTGAGAGAAAAAACAGAAAGACATGATGGATTGGTTTTGCAAGGAAACCCACAGCAGATGGACGCTCTACTCTTTATGGGCTTGAGAAAATGTAATTAAGAAGGAAATGAGATCTACATAGTTTGTCTGCTTGTGACTCCACAGCAATTGGTTTTATGTGTGTGTATTTGCTTTGAGTGGGTCCTGGTTTTAGTTGTGATTCTAACTTCGCCTTGTTACCTTGACCTTACAACCAAAGTAATCCAATCTCTGCACAAGTGTATCTGCAGATCTTCACTTGTCTAATCTACTAAAACTGTAGAAAACCAAGGGAGTAACTAAAACCTGCCTCAGATGACACAAACCCTCTCTTTCCATCATTATCTTTGCCGCCTAACCCCTGAGTGATACCTCTACCATCAAACCATGAGTGAGAAACAAATTCTTGGCCTCCATAAGTACACATTTGTTCAGAAGTATTTAGAATCACCTTTGTCTTGATGGATGACTCGGACTATGAGATATGTCCTTGTGACAGGTTTTCCCTTCAGAAGGAGAGAAACTAATAAGTGTGCTGGAAACTTGAGTTGGGCCAGTCTGGCCTGTTTTGGTTTGTGGGATTGTGCAGTGAGGGCCACAAATTGCCGCTGTCACAGTGCAAATCAGTTATTTTGCGCCAAATCCAGAGCCCAAAGACACTCCACTGTTTGTACCCTACTGCTGACCTTTTAAGTCACACTGTTGAGTTATGATAACATGACTGCGCCATGCACAAAGTAGTAGTTGGAGTTGAAAGGCAGGCATTTTCAAAATGTACTAGGCAGGTGATTGCAGAAGTTTGTATATCATGAGACATGAACTTGTCAATCTTTAGTCTCTAGGACAACCCTGATGACATAACAATGACGTCATCGTTATTTTCTTTGACTTGGAGCCACAGAAGATATTATACAGTTTTCACAGGCAGTTTGAGTATGACACCACACTTCGACTGAGAGGAGGACTTTATGCTGTACCAACCCGGCCTCACTCTGAATTTGCAAATACTGCAGCTTGGCCAGAGGCCCTCTGCTTTAAACTATGATGCTGTAGGTATCCCTCAAAGTCATTTAAGAGTGAGAAAGTCTGTACATTAAAACAGTGATTGCAGTTGCACTGGGTAATATGGGATTTTTGAAACAATACTGATTATAAAGGGAAGAAATTGTGCTGCTTGCCACAGTATTGTAAATCACAGAAACTCTGCAGTGACATCAATATCTTACCACAAAAAACAGTTTTCATATCAGAGCATATTGGATATCGGCCAATAATGTCAACCAACAATATATTGGTCAGGCTCTAAAACAAACACAGGACTTTAACCCAAGAGGGCATTGTTCATGTCCCATGTGAAGCCAAAAGTCAACAATTTTAAGTAACACAGTAAGTTACGCATGTTATGCAAGTTACACTTTATTCATACGTATATGTAACATGTTACAATATTTACTTCACTGGAAGTCGCGGACGTTACATATTTATTGTTGCTAACTTGACTGTGGAGCCCTGCACTTTCAAAATGATGATATAGGGATACCTACGATGAAAGCCCACTGACCCAGTGGCACTATTTCACAAATTGGGAGTAAGAATGTGTTGGATATACACACAATGTCTGTTGAACAGATGCTCATGGATGTATTTGCCCCTGCTATAGCTATTAACCGCCAGCGAAATTCATCAAAGTGCTAAATTTCTCTAATATTATCTGTAGTAGATGACAGGTAAAGCAAGTGGAATCCTCTCTCCATCTCATCAGTTCATTATGTTTTCTTCCTGTCTTTCTATCTGTCTTTAGGGAGCACCAGGCGAGCCAGGTCTGTCTATCATTGGACCAAGAGGACCTCCTGTAAGTGTCTTCACCTCTCCCTACGCCTAATAAAACTCTGATCTTGAATCAAACATCCTGCATGCCAAGCTTTTTATTAGCTACCATATCAGTAGAGCTCTGGTTAACACATCAGGTTCTTAGACACCAACGGACTGCTCAGGTCTACAGTCCCTGACAAAAGTCTTTGTCGCTTGGTACAAGTTGACCTTAAGTGCCCCTCAAATATATGTCTAATCATTTTTTTTTTTTACAAGAAATGGCTAATTTCAACCTCAACAGCTTTTTGATAATGATGTTTGGTGCCAAACGAAACTGCTGAAAAGCATTCTAACGTTCACAGCTTGGTAAAAGCCCACTGAGTCAGTTTTTGCAAAGACAAAAGTCTCGTCACTTGTCATATGATGCACCCCAATCCTAGATTACAGCCTCACCTGTGATCAATAATTGATCAATCACACCACTAAGGTGTGTATAAAAAGGAACCCCAGCACACCAGACCTTCACATCAACTGCAATTGACCTCTGACAACATGCCTAAGATTCACCCTGAGACCAAAGCGTTGATTATCAAGAGGCTGAAGACCAGATCCACTGCTGAGGTGGCTGACACTTTCAATGTGTCTCAGCGTCAAGTACAAAGAAAAGAAAAAGATTTGAAGAGACTGGAGATTTTTTGGACAAGCCCAGGTCCGGCAGACCCCGCAAGACAACTGCTCGGGAGGACCGTTTGTTGGCTCGAAAATCTAAGGCCAGCCCCTTTTCCACTGCAGCAGAGCTCCACCAGGGCCTGGTCACCTCAAGTCCCCGTGTCAACCAGAACAGTTTGTAGAATTCTGTCTCGAAATGGCCTCCATGGTCGAATCAGTGCCAGAAACCAGCACTAAACAAAAGGCAATTGAAAAAAACGTGTGGCTTTGCCAAGGCCCACAGCCTGCTAAAAGGATGGACGCTGGAAAAGTGGCAGAAGGTGGATTTCTCAGATGAATCTTAGGTTGAATTACATCACAGCTGCCGCAAATATTGCAGGAGACCTACTGGAGCCTGCATGGATCCGAGATTCACCCAGGAAAACGAGGTTAGAGTTGTTGCGTGGCGGAAAGGGACATGGTCGGTTCCAGTATGGGGTGCCGCCCGTGTACGAGAGATTTGCAGGTGGAAGGCATATCAATAGCCTAAAATATCAGAAGTCATTGCTACCTCTTAGCAATTCCAACCATAAACAGGGGTCCCAAATTTTGCAGCGCGATGTCCATCGCAACTTCCATCTTCTCACATCAACAGTTCCTCCAAGGCGACAGAGATCAAGGTGCTCCACGGACTCGCAGCCCAGTCACCAGACACTGAACCATCATTGAGCATCGTCTGCGGGTACGAAGTGAAAGAGGAACATTGAAGACGAAACCAAACGAATTCTTGATGAATCTGGGAGGCGATGTAAACTGCATTTCTTTGCTATTCCTGAATGACTCATCGATAAATTGTATGACTCTTGCGCTCAAAACCGCATTGGATGCCAGTCTTCAAGCCTCGAGAGTCGCTACAGATGCCATCAAATACTGATCCCTAATCACCAACTAGTAAATTAGTCTGTCAATTTTCACATTACTCCCCCTGGTAAGTGCGACAACTAAAAATTTTGTCTTGCAAAATGCTGACCTTTCTGTGTTCATTACTATGATCACTCTTCTTCAGTGAAAGCAAATTTATTTTAGTATGATCCAACCGCCATAATTTGGGAGGTTTAGTTTTTCATATGAGCCATTTAGAAACCAATTGATTAATTGAAGTCAGGTTATAACTGGTGGTTTACAAAATGGATATAGTGACAGACTTTTGTCAGGGACTGTATTGATTAAGCTAGACAATTGGAGAGACTTGTTCTTTCCGGGCTTTTGTAGGGCACAAGGCTCAAGAATATGGTAGCCCAGCCAAACCAAATCATAATTGAGACTGGGTGAATGAACCACAAATGATAGAATAATGCTGTATAATTACAGACTGTGAGGAAACAGCAGCATTGTTAAAGAGGGTTGGAACTGTGACTTGGCCTTAAATTGGATCATTAGTCATGCTTGTTTTATCAGTAAGCAAAGTGAGAAACTCCATCCTGGTCCAACTAGGGTCAATGTTAGTTATCCAGACACCAGGTCTTAATGGATTCTCTTATTGTAACCCAAACTCTTGGGAGGAAAATGAGTTTAGTGTTTCTTTTTCGTTTTCTTATTTGTTATCAGGAGGACCATTTGTTGCATAATATGACTTTAAAAAAAGTATGGCATAACCAAAAGTCTAGCCAACTTAAGCAGAGCACACATCTGTTTTGTTAATTGATACTTACTACAATGTATACCTGGTGTGTGCCCACTCTTCCTGGATTGTAATGATGAATAACAGGATGCAGAGGAAGCTCCGTGCAGTAGGAGCCAAGTCCTGAACTTAGAGGGCCAGTCAGTCAGAAACACTTAGAAGCTAGTTTACCACAGAAGGTGAGATTGACATGGAGACTCCAGCCGTGACCTTAGATGGAACAAGGGAGTTGATTCAACAGAGAGGTGAGGAGAACGAGAGGAAATGACAGCTTAGATGAGCCAAGTGCTTTGGCCACATTGTCATTTCACCGGGTTAGATGGATAAGTGAGAAACTATTTTCCACTGTGAGAAAGGTTTTCAACTTAACAGCTTGAAGCAAAAAAGTAATATTTCAGAGATATATACATGATGTTTTATAGCACACGCACAATGACTTCGGAAATACAGTACACAGGAAACCATTTTAATGGAATTAATCCTTGTTTACAATGCAAATTATTGAAATGCATTTCCATGCCAGTTTGGAAGCCAATGAGTGTAAAAGGTGATTCTTGACCTTGGAATGACTATAATTAGCCAAATTATTTTTACTTTTTCTGGAGCTTTCAATCGCATCCCATAGTCTTCAATAGTGGACGGTTATTTTCCATTTTTATGAGCACTTTTAGGGTTTCTTTTTCATGTTGTTTGTAAATATTGAGTGTGAAAGTTAGTTCTTGATTTTAGAAGATTTCAAAAGCATTTCATGGGCTTCAGATGGAATTCCATTTTTATGAGCATTTTGTGTTTTTTTGTTTTTTGTTAAAAGTTGAACGTGAAAGTTAACTCTTGGAAATCATACTTTGACAACAGACACAGAAGAAAAGTCTTAACACGCTAGTCTGACAAAAAAATGTTTTAAATTAAATTCATCATCTAAGCACGTTTTCTGTAGAACTTTGAACCACAGTTAGAGTTTGCTCACAAGATTGAAATTTGAGCCTGAAATTAACCTTTGTTCTTGAGTTAAGATTTGTCAAATTATATAATCCCATATAAAAATCCATGAACTTGTGTCTGGCAAGTTCCCTGTAACTACCACTGCTTCCATCTGTTTCATTAGTCACAATCACCTCTTCCCCTACATCTTTATTTTCGCTTCTTTCATTTTCCCAGGGATATTAAATGTCTTGTGCCAGTCTGAGAAGCAGAGTAGAAAAGCACAAACAGGCCACCATCAGAGTATGCTGGCTAATTGTTATTGACATACATTCATTGAACTTATTCACCTTCCCTCACTAGTCGTACATCTTTATTTGATTAGAACTCTTTGTTCTTTTCTTTTCAGTGTTCCATTCCAGCATCTAATTTCCTCCTGTGCAGAGAGAGCGTGCTCACACATACTTAATGTATTCCCCAGGGTCTTCAGTATCACTCCTTACGTCAAAATCAATTTCACTACTCACCAAATACCTCAGTGCGGTAGAGGGATCAGGGGAGAGGACTGTATCTTCCTTCACTGACCTGCTTTTTTATGACTTACAAAGGTACAACTAACACACTGATTGTTGTTCTGTTTCTCTTTAGGGACAACCTGGAACAAGAGGATTTCCAGGCTTTCCAGTAAGTCATGCTGTGTGGCAGGTTGTTATTGTACATGATTCTTTGATGATTTGTGTAAAAGCTGGACATTTCTGATTTAGTACATACTAGTAATTATTAGTTACCAAGGAACTAGTTAGGAACAAATCATGAAAGCTATTCCACAGTTCCCAAACATTTCAGTCATTCAGAATTTGTTACGGGTTAAAAAAGCAAACTAACAGGGTTGTAGGCAATCTTGTATTGAAACAAAAACCGTGATTTATTCTAATTCCCTATTAAGAACAATACAAGAACAGATACAGAAATGGCAAAAAAATAGTTCTTTGCTAACTGTCTGGAGTGCTGCTCAGCTGCAGCTGCAGCTACAATGCACTCAGATTGATAGGTGGCCACAAAAAACTACAATACTATTTTAATTACTAGTATTGCTGCAATATTGCTTCCATCATCTGGGCTAATCATAACATAAATTTCATTTTACTACAACCTCATTTAATTAATCTACATTTACTGTTTAATTTACCTTAATTGTTATGCATTAAGCCAAACAACCAGTTTTTTAACTGATGCTATAATGGGGACAGCTTTTGGTGCAGAAATCTGCAAAGCAATTGCTTTCCATTATGTGCTCAAACATCTCCTTCTCTTCCTCTTTCCTAGGGTCCAATCGGATTGGATGGCAAACCTGTGAGTTTCCCCAAGTACCTGTCAAAAAGTGAAATAATTGAGTAATTGAGTGCTCCTTCAGTTCCCGGAACTGTGACTGCCTGTGGTAATAAGTATAATTAAGCCAACAATGATTATGGTCATTATTGTAATGAATTCTCTCTTAGTGTCATACAGTGTGGGTTTAAACATGCTATGGCTATTTCTAAGAAGTTTTTCCAAGGAAATCAATTTAAATTGATTAAATTATTTTACCACCTGCACTCACTGTTTTAATGTTCACACAGGGACAGAACGGACCGAAGGGAGACATGGTAAGCATTCCTTACATTTTTCATAAACATAGTTGCGTCACAATACCATTACCACCAGTCAAGCACTCATAAAACCGTTGATGTACTTCTTGGGCATGTAATGAAATTTACAATAACAAGCCAAAGAAAATATAACATAATTGTGTTGAATCTTGTTTTGTTGTTTGCTGCGTGTTTATTTTGTACCCACAAAGTCATAAGGAAAACAGTGCTGGACTGATTTATGCAACCCAGCAATGAGCTAACAGTGGGTAGCATGCAGAAGGGAAAAGGTCGAGACAGATGGGAGCTGTTAGCCACACTCTGGCTTTCAGTCAGGGTTCGGTAAAACTCTTACCAACTGAAATGGGTACTACATTTTAATTTTACTTACTGAGGCTTGAGATTATTAAATGCCTCAAGCATTAACATCCTGTATTCTCAGATAATTAAATTATTTATTAGCCATGCAGATAAAAAAAAAAAATCTTTTCACTGTTGTAACTAATAATCTGAAGATAACTTCCCATGGCTGATCCTCAGCTATTACAGAGCCAAAGCAAGTATGGAGATTTCCAGCTTCCACAGACTATTTAAGTTTACATTCAACAGTCAGTTTCAATGGATAATAAAGGGTGTCATTTAAAGGTCTAATGTGTAACATTTATGAGGATCTATTGTCAGCTACATTTTCATTTTCATCACCTAAAAATATAAGAACCGAATGAGCTGTTTTTATCTACAGAGAGAGTGGGTCCTCTTCTGTGGTGTCTGCCATGTTGAACTACCATGTTTCTACGGGAGCCCATAACGGACAAGAAAAAAGAAACAGCGGTTTTAATCAGTGTCAATTTGTTTTGGAGAGGAGGAGAACTCTGTAGATAAATGGGCTTCTATGATCCCACACTGTCTCACAACATCAATAAACTTTGTCTTTTGTTATTGTTTTGATATAAGAGACGTCCTAATGACAGAAATTACATATATATATTTAAGGTGGAAAATGAATACAATTTGGACCACCCTTTGGAATTATTTACAGCTTCAGTACAAATTTGCAGGATAAAAGAGCTCTGTTCTTTTTGAATGATGTTACAGTGTTGGTCATTTCAATGTTGTCCAGCTGATGTTGATACTCTGGCTTTTATCACTCCCTCTGCTGATTTCAGTAGTTTCTCACATGCCTCTGGTTGAGTACTATTACTCCTGGCCAGACGGGGGGAAGTCAGACTGGGGTTTGTTTTTCGAAGCTCTGGGGTTTGCACCTTCCAGGTCCAGTGAACTCCATGCCAGTGCAAATGATAAAATTTTCAGGGGGCCAAAGGGGTCTAAACTTTGTTGAAATAATGTTTAATGTTGATTAATGGCCCCGTAATGAGCTCCTGTTTCTTAGTCTCCTTCCTGACGAATGTCAGCGACTACTGAAAAGGGCTTTGAGGGTTTGTCTGCTAAATGTATAGAGATGCTGTTGCCTTCACAAAGTGGCTTTGAGATGCTGGGCCTGTGGGGTCACCAGCATGGGGTGCACTGGATGTGTCCTACTGGGCCCTCTCCCTGAGTTCATTAATCAACCAGCCACTCAGCTCTGACAGCTACTTAAGCTGGGCACGCCCCAGGGCCTGATGGGAAGTCAAACTGAGTGCCTTCGTCCACAACAAGTAATTGGAATAGACTCCTGTAACAGCTAATTCATCAGCTTGATGGATACTTTGACATTTTTACTCATGTTATTAGGATGAATTTGTCTTCAGTCATGTTGTATTCTTTGCTGCAAATCAATCCTGAAATCACATTCAAGACTTACTGAGCTGCTGTTGTCTTTCAGGGTCAGCGTGGTCCCAAAGGACTCCCAGTAAGTCTGATATAAGTCCTGAGATAATATTGTGCTAATACTTTGAGCTAACTGCACAACCACTCTTCTATTTCATTGACCTGTGCTCTTTTGCTTTCTAGGGTGAACCTGGACCCAAAGGGGAGAAGGTGAGACATAGTTTGCAATAGTTTGACAATTTGGACAATGAGTAACACATTTTTAAGTTAACCAGCCAGCAGTGGTGGAAGAAGTACTCAGGTCCTTAATTTAAAGGTCCAGTGAGTATCATTTACGAGGATCTATTGTCAGAAATCGAATATAATATTAATAAGTATGTTTTCATTCATGTATAATCACCTATATATAAGGAGACGTTTTTATCTACAGAGGGAGTGGGTCCTCTTCTATGCAGTCCTCCAGGTTGGACCACCATGTTTCTACAGTAGCCTAGAAGGGACAACCCAAACAATGTAGCTGTAGATAGTGCCTCTTGCATTTTTTGCAAGTTTTGCGGCCAAAAGTTGGAAGGGGAGGAAGAGGCAAGGGTATTGCAGTCTGATAGATGCCACTAAATCCTACACCCTGAACCTTTAAAAGATTTTTAAAGTTACTCCAGCAAATCAATATTGTACTTCCATAAAGTTAAGGTACTTATAAGAAAAGGGGTTGAAGCAGCAGAAGTTCAGATATCCAGACTTTTAATTACTAGTAAGGGTCAAACTCTAAAACCCTGGATCCCATAGTGCAATATGATCGCTTATTTTCGTTAAACCCTCCCTACCAAGTCTTTTAAATGTAATGCCCCTAGTTTGTGATGCAGGCTAACTGAACCGAAATATGTAGTCCCTGATCCCAAGATGAAATTACCCTGATGACATCACTTTAACATCATCAGTCTCTGCCAAGCTCTTCTAGAGCAGCGAAAAACACATTCAAATGTTTTGGTTTTCCTGCATTCCCCATGACAAGTAAAGTGATCTTCGTGTTTCAAATAAGAGGACTTCCCCTTTAATTTGAAACTAATTATAACTAATTATTGTAAACGTGTGAAAACTTCCACTGTTTGTGGTGTTCTCATTTCTGACTAGACCTTTTTCTTTTCTCTCCAGGGCGTATGTGGAGACTACACGCACAGGGTAAGAAAACATTATTGTGGATCTAATTCTCTCTCATTACTGTTTTACAAGAGCTGCCTCTTCATCATCAATGTTTATGTTAAAACTCAGAAATGATTTTAATCTGCACAAATTGAACCTGTAATGTACTGTTATTCACCCTACGTTACATTATCTCTCACAGGTTAACCTACTGCATGTACAGTTGTGTAATGTCAGAGCAGAATAGAAAAGTGAAGTTGGAAGAGGACAAACTACTGCAGAAGCTGGACAGACAAATGGCGGGTAGCACAATGATGGGTAGCACATGCGGAGCTGTGCAGTTCTTTGGCCCGCCGTCTCTGGGGTTTGGCTAGTTGAGAGAAAACAAGGCAATTACTGGCGGGCTGCTGGAACATACAGTCGGACGTGATAAGAGCCTGTGTGTGGGTGCCAAGAATAAGAGTCTCCTGTGTAAAGGGGGATTTTTCAGATAGCTAAATCCATTTCCAGAGTAATTCAACCTTTCAGTTATTAAACTGCTCCTGCTAAGATGATCAAAGTTGGAAAGTTGGGGGTTTTTGGAAGGCCGTCCCCCCTTTTCTAACAAGTTTTATTCCTGTTAAATTAGTTTTTTCATATACTTCTCAGAGCCCCCTGCAGCAGTCTGTATGGGAGGTCCATTCCCAGTGTCTGCTCACACCCCCAGGCCTCAAACCTATAGTGAGAACCATTTGGGTTAGGTGGAGTTAAAATGTTATGAGTGTTTTTCGAGAGTTTTCCTTTTAGGACGAAGCCAGCAATATCAGCAAATGTTTCTTGTGTTTTTGTATAATGTGTATTTTAGCAGCCGCCACATTGCTGAAAGAATAGATCAACATTTTGGGAAATTTGCTTTCATTCCGAAAGTGAGATTAAAAGATTGATATCGATCTTATATCTGTGCATAAGCACAAAGCTGGGGACATGATGTGGTAAGCCTTGCTTAGCTAAAAGACATAAAGCAGTGGGATACAGCTAGCATTGCTCAGTCAAACTATAAAGCTGACTATTAATTACTAACAGACTGTAAGTTTTTTGTTAAAGTCGTACAGGAAGTGATTTGTGTTTTTATGCTAAGCTAGGCTAACCACATACTCACTCAAGCTCTGCACAAAGTTGTGAGATTGATGATGTGATCCAACCCGATTTCACTCCCAACTTGTGAAATACTGCTGCTTAGTCAGTGGCTTCTAATTGGATAATTTCTGGTCAAATAAGCAAGAATAAATATGTAACGTCAGTTAGATTTTCAAAATAAAGCTTGTGTGGTTAACATTGTAAAATGGTTGCAGTTTAGTTGGCAGTTGAAACTTGGCTATGGTTAAGTTACGTTATGTACCTCATTTAACTTAAGTAGGCTACAGAAGTTAACTTATCTGTGTTACAGAAACAGTTCACTTTTGGTTTTACACAGGATACCAATAGCGGTCTGCTGGGATAAAGTCCTAGGTTTGTTTGAGCCATCCATCCGTCACCTCCATATGCGGACGTTTTTACTCTTCATACTATGTCACCTGGCTTTGATAGCAGGTGTGTCCAGAAATGACACTAGAGGGGTACCTACAGCGTCATATTTTGAAGCAGAGGGGCCACTGACCAAGAGGCAGTATTTGACAATACTCACTTTTTGTGTGGTTGGACAATGGCTCCTTGCCACCATTACAAGAACTGACTGAAATTACCACTTCCCTGGTGTGTAGGGCCTCTTTGTGCAGGATCTTCCTCTGAAAACCCTGGCTGCCTTACGCTCCAGTCAGGCTCTGATGTTGAAGGTTTGTGGGTGCCTCCAAACACCCCGGTAGATAACTCTCAGCAGGGGTGTCACCAAGTCGTGCCGCAAAGAGAGCCAGTGCCCTAGAGCCAAGGCACTCCTCAACCCTCTGCTGTCCACCCAAAAGAAAAAAAAAAAGATCAGTGTTGTGACTGGGTCGGGACCAGGACCAGTTTGGTTCATGCAGTTAGTATCTCTTTTAATTGTTACTTGAATTAAGGTTAATTGTACAAACTGCTGAAGCACAGGGTGCCAATATTGAAATTAAAATCATTGAATTGAATTAGAAAAAACAATTTTCTGTGTATACAAATTTTTTTTCAATGGCACAATTTGATTTTGATTTTCGAATGATATTCCATTCTGTCAATGTTATGCTATTTGAATTTGAAATATATATTTTGGTCAGTAATTAATTGCATGAAGAATTTCTGATAAAGAAAAACAACAAAACAAAACAAAACAAAAGAAGCAATTACTACTGACAGATAAAGAATAAAGATTACTATTTGAGCTCAATAGGCAATATCAGACCTAATATTTTCACATTATTTAAACTTGTCATATATAACTTGATTTCACTTTATTCTGGCAGCCCTTGACTTTTCATACATTTACCTGTTTCAATTTGTGGTGGATAGCTGGAAATGGTGAGGGACAAAGCAGCACACTTGCCTACTTTTACAACAATTATACCCCTACTTATATTTACTTATAAACATGCTGTATATATTTCCATAGCAATAGCACTATTGTTGTATTTGGCTTTCAACTGATTTTTGAAAAAAATAGGGTCACACAATAAAGAGTACAATTGAAAACTTACTAGGAATATATAAGTTGTAGTAGTGAATACTTTGTGTGGGTTTCAGGTACTGGGTGAAGGTAGTCTTTTGCAAAATAAAAATTGTGGAAATATGTATGCTATGTAAAAAGTAGGCAAGTTGCATGCAGCTGGTTCTGCTCAGTGTCACTGAGGAAATGTAGCTATCAGCGGGACTATACGTGTATAGTACCTTGTATCTGATCATGCTGGTCATCTCAACAGAAGCGGCGTATTGTACAGCCCTGTGTTGGACAGTTGGCCACAGTAAGTCTGGATGTGCACTGTAACTGTACTGCTGTACTCTCTTTGTGGCAAGACTGGTGCCCACCTCTGCTCCGCTGCAATCTAGGGGCCTGGCTTGCTGTTAACGGGGACATTGATGCACACAAATCCTGAATAGGGGATGATTGATGATATGGAACCAACAGACACTGACCGTAGAAAATTTGCTTTCACATTCTTTTGAAATAAAGAAGCATCACAGTACATCAACCATCCCCTTTGCCGCTCCAGGCCCATAGTTTGCTGTGCTGGTGACTCTTTTTGTCTTTCCTTTCTCAACTTTGTTTCTCTCCTTTGCCTTCCCATTTCCTTGCTTTTCACTCTCATGTTCTATTTCTCTTTTTTCTCCACATCCTTCCCCCATTTCTTCCCTCGTTCTCCTGGTTTCACCTTGTATCCTTTCTCTGGCCTCCTGGTGACCTTTGCCCTGTGACCTTTTTGCACCGCTGGCCACCTGTGCTTTGTGACTTCCCCCGGCAGATGTTGCCCATCACAGTGCGCAACATGCCCTCAATAAGCCCTCTAATCCTAAAACGCCTCAAGGTACAATTCTCTCTGCTCCCTACTTGTCCCCTCCTCTCTGCCCTCCCTGTGGATGCCTACCGCCGCCATTCGTTGCCAAAACCTTCCCGATCTTTCTCTGCCATCATGCTGCAATTAACCAACGTTTGGCTGCCAATGCTTCTGAATGTTTAGACATATTCAAGGCTGAAGGTCTTTTCTGTTAATAATGCATGACAGGAAATCAAACAAAAATGCTTAATTTTTCAGGTTTCAAGCAATCTACAAAATCATGTTTCATTTAAAGCTTTCTTTAAACTTAAATACATATAATAGTCCTTAAAACTATTTATTGTGGAAATAATTTTTATTTCACTTATGAATCAAGTTTAAAAAAAAAAAAGTCTAACTGGACCTCTATTATGTGGTAACTAAATCCTGCAATGCTGAACAAAAAACAACAAATAAACCCCAATTAAACTCCTTCATGCAACCATTGTTCCTGCAAATACATTCAATATGAATTAATGATTGCCTTCAACATTCAAAGTCAACGCAGGCAGAAGTGTTACATTCATTGCAAAGCACAAACTAAGGATGGTGTTGTCAAAAGCAAACACTTGAAGGACTAAGAAGAGACTGATTAAAAAAATGTTTAACAAAATTGAAGCAGCAGAGGCCAATATATCCTACCATTCACTAGTCTAAGCTCCAAAAATGCTCGATCCTACATTTCTCACAATGCAACTTGATTTTTATCTTTGACCCTCCCTGCCTAGTCTTTCAAACTCCACACCTCCAGCTTTTAACCCAATTGGTTTTTACTGAATTTAAAAAGGCTTTAGCAGCAATTTGCAGATATAGAAGAAATACATAACTAAACCAAGTTGCAGATTTGCTCAGTATTAACAGTGTGACAGATATAAAATGGAAAAGATAACTTATGCAATATTACCTTGTGCCCAACCTTTTTTTTGCGAATGCAAAATCCATTCTATTGCCAGTTTTGGGCTTTGATATTGATGATTTTCCAAATTCAACCAAAACTACGTAGTTAGGTTAAGGGACCAAAACTGTTTAGCTAGGTTTAGGAAAGGATAATGCTTTGGGTTAAAATAAATACTTTACATGACTTAATTAACGTGATGCAAGTGACATAATTCAAGAATATAACATTTTGTAACTTAAAACTTTTTAATAAATCAACGCTGACTTTTGGCTTTACACGGGACACGAACTCTGGGTAAAATTCCAGTTGTCTGACCCAACTATGCACCCCAGCTCTCTCCTTATTTGCTGTTTACACTACGTCCCTTGGATGTGGATGAGTTACAGTGGAATTACAATAAAGCCTGGCACGTCTCATATAGACACTAAAGGGCACCTTGTGCGTTTGTATGAGAGGCAGAGGGGCGTCACCAAATGTTGGTATTTGATGCCCTGGTAATGAGAAAGGGCCAGTTTGAGGTTTAGCACAATTAGCTGTCCCAAAAAGAAAACTTAAACTGGACTAACATACTGTACACAATTTATATCAGTATTGACTATTTCTCATCATCATGATGAGAATAAAATTATGGCAGGATTTTTTTTAGATTTGTTCTGTCATGAATATGGTCAAATTGTGCAGAATTCATTCAATATCAACTATTGGCAGCTACAGTCTACCCATAACAATGTGTGTATAACCCCTGAGAGAAGCCTAACATGTCCAGAGACATAAATCATATCTGGACACATTCTGCACTGTGGTGCAGAGGAGGAATGATAACATATGGCTCTGATGTGGATGGATGTTCTCCATTTTCTCAGAATAGAAGCTTGGCAGCACTCTCTGGTCCTGAGCTACTGTACAGTTGTGTTCTCCTACAGTAACACTGTGATTGCTGAGCGACTGAAGTAAGGCCAGGGCTTTATGTTGGGAACTTCTCTAAGTCAGACCACGTGTGCAAACAAATCATGTACTGTTGTACGCATTAACTTTCATGCCATAGAAACCTGTCGCCCTCTATGATAATGGATATTTCCATACGCAGGTGTCTCCTCTATAAAATATCGACCTGTAGCAATCAGGAAATTGATTTTATGAGTTCCAGAAGATAAGTAGCATGAGGAGAAACAGATTCAGGATGTGTAGCAACCAGACATATTTATTTTAGCCATTGACGTGTATTTATTTTCTTCATATCCTGTGCTCATTGTAAATGTTCTTTATTTGAGTTTGTTTAGTCTTGGCTGTGGTCCGTGGACAGGCTTCAGTATAACACACAGATTCAACAGTGTGTTTCAAAAAAGCTGCAGGAAAGATCAATGTCAAAATTACATTCATTCATTTCAGATATAAACAATTATAATTTATACAGTTATGCAACTTCTTTTTACCCAATGATAATTTAAAGCCAAACTTAAGCAAGTTGGAGTATCTTTGACAAGTCCTGCAAAACTGAGAGATCCAGGAGCATTAGCATATAAACTACTACATCAGTGTCACTTACCTCCCAGTGCCTTGCTCTACAAATAAAGGTAGTCACTGAGAAAAAACAGCATTATAACCACATCTGTGATAAAATATTCTAAACTGAAGGTGCACCAGCTTTCTCTAAAGCCCATAAATACAGACTCTGGCATCCACCTTGATCTTATTGCAGTTATCCACTGACACCTGGTCAATGTTGTGACTTGGTTTCCAGTTCCTTACCTTAGGTCCAGGGGTACCTAGGTTACTCTGGATACTTTGAACCCGTGATTAGAGAATGGCTCAAAGGAAGTGGATGACTGCCTGAAAAACGAATGAGTAAACCTTGAGTTTTTAATATTTTAGTTCCCAATGTCAAGAATGACTCAAGCATTATAACCGCTTGCTTTGCTCCCCACCTAACCTTCCTTTCTGCAAGCCCCCTGCAGTTATTTGTGGTGTAGTGTTAGGTTGTTGTGTTGGCATGGCCAGTGTGGCGAGGCTCGCTCCAGCATGGCAGATTGTAACTCAAAGTCTCTCAGCAGGGCGAGCCTGGAGTGCAGGGACCCGCAGGACCTCCAGGGCCCCCTGGACTCCCAGGGACTCCAGGCATGAATGGAGCCAGTGGCCCACCAGTGAGTCCCAGTCTACCTAGAAATTAAAATTGTACTTTTACACCTGCTAATTAACCACCTTACCAAACATTTCAGCTTTTGTGCAATATCCTCCACATTTCACATACTGTGTAGTTTATGATCTCCATGTATTAGAAATTGTGTCATCAGAATTATATTAGTATATTACGAGATTTTGTTGGTTTGTTCTGTACACTCGATATTTACTGCATGTCTCTCTTTCCTGGGAGAGCAATCTTTCCTCTGTGGCTCTTTTCATCCATTTCTCTGTTAAAAGGGTTTTTTGGGGAGTCTTACCCGAATCGAGGGTCTCAGAACAGATGGTGTTGTATGTTGTACAAATTGTGAAGTCCACTGAGGCAAATTGTGATTAATGAATAAAATTTGACTTGACAAAGAACAGAAGTTGTTGAAAAGAAACTCAAAAGTAGTATGATGTTAACTTAATTTGGTGTCAGCCCCTTTTTGACCATTCAATGTGTGTGCTTGTCTCACACTGGCCATTACAAATCTTTACTTCCTGTGAAAAAAATTAAACTGCATTAGTAAATGTCAGATCAGCCAAAGTCTGTCAGTAGTTAAACCCAAACTGGATAAAAACTATATATGCACAGTTTTAGCCTTCACACAGCCAACTCATTGTCAAGTCAATATTATTTATATAGCCCAGTATCAAAACTCACAATTTGCCTCAAGGGGCTTTACAATTTTTACAGCATATGACACCGTTTGTCCTAGACCCTGAATTTGAATAAATAAAAACTTTTAAATGGAAGAAACCACAGGGGAGTCTTTCCCAACATTACCATCCATTTTACATTACAGGAATACAGTATTTCTGCTTTATAAACTCAGGCTGTTTCTAGAGAAGTGAAAACTTACAAAAAGTATTAAAAATATTAGCCTGGACTGGAAATGGGTAGAGTCACAAGTTCACTTTGCTCAGGGACACCATAAAATCTGGACATGCTGCAGCAGTCAACTCTTCACTTAGACAACCAATAAAGTATAGGCTTTGAAAAGTTTACAGTGCAAGCACTGGCCTGATGCAAGTTTACTTTACTATTGTGCTAGTTTGATCTAAAGGTCCAGTGTGCAGGATTGAGTGGCATCTAGTGTTATAATTGCAGATCGCAACTGCCTTGCTTCAACCTCCTTTTCAAGCTTAAAGGAGAAATACGGTGGCCCCAAAACATTGCAGACTTCATGTAAGGTGACCCACAGCATATGTAGATAAAAATGTCTTCGTATTCTAAGGTAACAGAAACAAAACAATTCTTATTTTCAGGTGATTACACACACCTATGATTAAAAACATACCTATGAATATAATACATTTTTTTACAATAGATCCTCTTAAATGTTACACACTGGACCTTTAATTACTTTAGTGGGAGAAACATCTACTGCCAGGCAGCCTCTATATCCACATTATATATAGGCATAGTTTAAAATTCAAATGGACCAGGTATTGTAGATAGTTCTGTAGATTCTGTGTGATTGAGTCTTTGCTCTTTTCATACAGGGTAAGCCTGGTGAACCGGGCAAACCAGGAAAAGACCCAAGGGTGAGCTTTAGTTCAGTGAGTCTTCTACCTTTATTTTTCCAGAACTTTCTCATTAGTGAAAGTTTGTTGGTGTGACATTAACCTTCTTTGTGATTTCTTTGTTTTTTTCTGCAGCTTTTACCAGGACTGAAGGTAAACAAATTTCTCTACTTGTCCAAACAGCAAACATTATGATTCTGAAAATCTTGATTAGCATCACTGTGGCCTCTCGTGATGACCCCAGAGTTATTTTATGGACAAACACACTCAGGCCCAAATAAAACAAACCACGCGAATCAGGGATCAAGTCAAGATTTTTCCACTTGGTCTCTTTGCAGCTGCTCTAAAATTCAGAGCAACCCCACCTACACAACACTGCACATTCCCTTTGGATTGGATGAACAGATCCCCACATGATGCTTGAATTGCCACGGATTATTTAATAGGAGGAATGTAGATTGTGAGGTCAGAGAAACATACAGAGTCCTGTAAACACCTCTCACTCTGTATAACAAGCCGAATCTCACAGAAGCAGTTTTCACTTGTTATAGCATGAGCAGTAATAGCCGCGAGAAGCATCTGGATGGAAAACATGACTTTAAAGCCCTCAAATCAAGCCTCAGCCACCTGCTTCTCTGTACAGCTGTCAGTGTAAAACACTGAATTTATTGCTGGATATGTGCTTTGTATGTACACACTTTGTTTTATCTCTCTAGGGTGAGCCAGGTGTGCCAGGACTAAAGGTGAGCTCTCTTCTGGATTTTACTTTTGAAAGAAAATATGGTCTATAGGATCCAGGATGTGGTTAGATTGGCTGGGAAAATCCTCATTCCAGTGCACAAACTAGTGTACACACTGTCCATTGATGGATTTTGTATCGTGAACAGAAAGCAATAAACATACATTTCCCACAGTAATGGTGGAGCTTTTATGTATCATGTTCTTTCTGGTACCTGCAGGGATTAATGCAGAAGCAGAAGGAAGTTGTATTTTATTTCTTGTTGCTTTCCTTTGGCTACAGTTTTTTTGTTTTCAGAAGTCATAGAGTTTAGTTACCTATCTTTACAGCAGAGAAGATGATAGCAGGAGTTTGATAGTATATCAGGATAGTTTCAACAAATTATGTGTCCTTTTTGCTTGTGTCAATTCTGTCATGTCAGTGTAAATATTTATTCTGTCTCTCTACAGGGTGATCGAGGTGATGTCGGCCCACCAGGTCCTGAAGGCCCAACGGTATTCCAATTTTTACTTGTTTTAGAACTTTTTCAACTGTGGTGTTTCACTCAAAGGTTAAACTCAAAAGGATATACTCAGATTTCTTCATACAACAATCACATGCCATATGTACAGTGGAACACCAAGGCATACAGAGCAGGAAGGGGTTGACCAGATCATGTTGAGGTGTGGCCCTGCTCCTGAACTTAATCTTAATAAACTTAATAAACTAACTAATAAACTAATCAACTTAATTTAAGAGACTATGTATTATTACACCATGTTAGCATATGTGTAAGTGTAGCAAGTAAATAGTAAATTTATTATTACTATTACTATTACTACTTTACTTTTTTTGGGCTTTACCATCAGAGTGAATGTGTTTGAAATGGTGAATGTGGCACGTAATGTAAAAGCGCTTTGAGTGGTCAGAAAACTAGAAAGGCGCTATACAAGTACAGGTCCATTTACCATTCCATTTACCATTACTCAATGAGTACCAGCTGAGATAATCAACTCACCTGGGGTTGTTCTCACAGGCCATCCCCACACCTCTCTCTCTCCTGCAGCTGATTGTAAACCACATCCACCTCCACAGTAATATTAACATGATATCAAAAAAGTTTGTAAAATATCATGGTTATGTGTTAATGTTTAATTTTGTCTTTTTAGATAGCTTTGATTTTTTGTTGCTGTTGGCCAGCATATTTAGGGAAGCTAAGGTTGAGGATCTTTGATAGCCGCTTCATGCCCTCTGAATTGATTTTCTGTGGTCTTTGCGGTCACAGACAGATGATAAAAAAACTTAAATACCATGAACATGGATCCTTCCCAGCCAACATTTGTATGTGGGGCCTATGTGAGTATTAGATGGGCTGAAAAAATGGGCCTTATATGGGATTTTCCGTGTGTTCCATAATGGCCCCATAATTGTGTATGTGGGCTTTATGCAGGATTACACTGGGCGTTAGGTGGGGCCAAACTAGGCAACACAGATGGGCCCCATTTATGATACCCACCCTGAGCCCATGCTCTCGTTTCCCATTAGTGACCCAACTACGACTCCCATGTGGGGCCCACATATACATGTTGGCTGGGTTGCAGCTATGCAGAAGCATAATTTGAGCCATAGTCAAATCAAATAGATATCTTCATCCTGGTTGTCGTGAGTAGGTTTCTTGTCCGTGCTTTGTCCTGAAAACAAACCTACTGTCAGACTCAGCAGGGAAACACTGTCCATGGACACACAAAGAGCCGTTTTCACAGGCTTTTGTCTGAATACTTGTCTGACTCAGATTGCTGAAACCTCTTAGTCATCATGTGGCCCTTCCCAGCAAGCACCACATTTTTCATTTATATTAAGTGGTTTAAAAAAGTATTAATTAAAACTTTGGGAGCTGTTTAGAACTGATATCATAAAAATACACAGGCCCTGACCTCATAAAATGATGCAGGTAACATCTGCTGCCACAATTATGGTTTTGACATTTATTCAGTGGAAAGTGTTTGTTTGGTTATTGCATAATAGTCTCCTTAGTGTATTGAATAAACAGGGATGAATAAAGCACACACATACATGCACACACTGTGGATGGCAGCTTAAAGGATCTAACCTTGGCTTTGAAGCAAGCTATGCCTGCTACTTTCCACGTGCTTGTCCTTCTCCACTTTTCCATGGCTTAACAGACTTCCTCTAGAGGACACACACACATGTACTTGTATACACAGCAACTGTTCTACACTAATCCAAGTCATTATATGGCATTACGAGAGACTAAACTTTTGAGGCATTATAGATGACAAAAGGAGAGATGCCAAAAATGTGAAAAGGGAGGGGAAAAACTAAAATTAAAATCAAGACAAAAGGAGAGAATAGTAAAGATTATGTTGCTAGTTGAAAAGAGGATCTGTTATCTGTGGCAGGCCTTAGATGGGACGTCATGGTTGGAAAATGTATAAAGTTGAAGGAATGATTTTACCATGCTCAAATTTCACTCACTAGTAGGAGTGGAATTATAGAAGGAAAGAGGCTACATGATTAATCTGAGGAGGATATATAACACACAGCAGACACAGAGACACAGCATTAGTGTTCATTTGGAGTTTGTTACAGGCCAACTGATAAATAGGTCCAATATTCACTCTCCTCTTAGCTCACTATTATAAAGCTGGTTGTTTAGCACTATAGACATGTTCACATCAATGTATGTGTATGTATGTGTTTATGTGCATTTTGAAGTATCTAATTAGAGAAGTTAGATGGTAATGGCAAAATTTGCAAAAAAGTTTTTATGCTGGCTTGGTGGTTTTTGCCTTTTCTTTAAAAAAAGATCTGATTAATATATAAAACACAGAGAAATGTCGTATTTCCATCCTGTTTTTGCATTGTTTTCACCAATTTAACTTCCACTGATGCTCTTTTGAGATCATCTTTTTGCACCCTCTTCTTCTGTTTTTCCAACTGCAGAACTGGTGCCACCTGCTGCTTAACTTAATGAACCAACTCCCAATAATCACATAACAGTAGTGGATGGAAATAAGCATTCATTTGTGTTTTTACTCAAAATTCTGTTAAACTTTGCGATACATTTAGAAGGACACGGCTAATGTTCAAACAGCTAGTAGAGCAGTAAGTGCACAGTGGTTTTATCAGTGCTTTTTCACACAAAGCAGCAGCAAAACAGCAGCTAAAAGAGGCTAAAAAGCTCTGTATAGCTAATGTGAACTGTTAGTCCCATTTGTGACCTCAGCAACACTACCACACATGGTACATGGGCATGTCTCTATGCGAGTGGAGAGGTCAGTACTGCAGAGATAGTGATGATTCATGATTCTGGTTTTTATATAGAGACACCTTTCACAATACACACTTATTTGATACATTGTAGAGATTCAAGATTTTTTTATTTTGATAAAAACAGTAGTGCCTTCAAACTTATGTTGATGCTTTGAAAACTCAACTGCAATCTGCTTAGTTTCAAGACTAAGTAATTCATTAAGTGTAAAGATGTATATGTTCAATAATCCATATGTTCATACCAAGTGGCTGCAACTGAAGCCAACATGGAAGTGCCAAAAACAGCAGTTCCTCTAACGGCCACTTGAGGCTGGCTCCAGAAGTCAATCTCCATATTAAAATGCCCAACTTTATAGCAGATATAAACACGTTTACAGCCTGGTACAAAAAACTGTTTTGGTCTCTTTAGCTAATTTTTACCCATTCTTACCCATTTAAATTATATTAGGGCTTAAAGTTATTAAGGGCATGGCCACTTTGAGTGAGCCAAAACTGCCAAGATGGCACAACGTCTTTTCACAAACCTATGGGTGACATAACAGAGATGTCCATTTTTAATCATACAGTCTATGGTTCATACTTTTCCCCTTCCACTAAACTCCACTAGAGCTAAAGTAAACTATGTTAGTCATATCAGCAAACTGCTGTCACAACAAAACCACAGTAGATATCTACATGACTTTCTGTGAAAGTGATTTTTCCCAAAGCCTCTATGTTTTCTGGAAAAACCTCATTGCTGTGAGCTTCTGTGCAGATTATTGCCTTGTAAACTTCAACTGCAGCCATTCTTCCATCTCGCTTTTTTGTTTTTCCCCTGAAATCAGCCCAGAATCCTGTTTCTGTTTTCTGCCATTAGCTTTATGAGCACATCAGGCTACTGAGCTGAAGGTCACTGTGAGGACAGAAGGGTTTGCAGGAACTGTTATCTGGCTGTTTTTCTGGATGTTGCACAACAGGCATTAGATAACTTCTTAGATGCAAACTACTCCTTGAGTTTACACATCCATTCTTTAAGGCCTTGGTCACAGTCGTCACTGCTTATTATAAGGCTTATAGAGGAACTTGTGCTCCATCTAGTGGACTACTGTGATTGTTATCAGTTGTTATACTTACAGTATTTATCTCTGCTTTGTTTCACAGGGAGTTAAAGGAGACCAAGGAATTAAGGTAAGATTTTTTTACCTTTCCATTTGTCACAGTCAAAAAAGGGATAGGCTACGAAGGCAATATGGTTTAAAGCTATTCCAATTTCCATCCAATTATACTCACAACTTGACCTTGGTATCATCTGCGGCCCTGTTCTGTTTTAGCTTTTCACTTGTGGAGACAAGAGAATAATTGTCTACCCAGCCCGTCAGTTCTTTGGTGAGAATAGAAGATCTCAGCTACCCGGGTACCCAGTTTGCTCACAAAGAATCTTCTTGCTGACTTAATCCGGTTTGGGAGTTTTCCCCTGTAGTTCAATGTAGCGACACCTTATTCAGCAAAGAAACGGTTAGGGTTACAACCCTAACACTAGAGCTAGGGTTCGGGCTATGGTTATGGTAGCCCTATCATTTGCAATTTTTTGTGTATGGGCAGTTTCATTCCTGTATTATAAACCTTTAACTGAAAACATGATCATTCAACCTGTATCCAAAGCAAACTTTAGGTCTCCATGTCATGTCGCCTTGCTCGCGCTGCCTGGATGAGAAATCACCCCTCCACCGGCTACTGTGTAATGTCTTTACAAGGCAACCACTGTCCAGGGATCAACATGATAGAAGGCTCCTGATGTCATCTCTAAACATGTAGATCTCCTCCTGTCAGTTCCATGTAAAGAAGGAGCACTCCCTTTTTTCCCCTGAGCCTTTGCTCGTCTTTTGATTTTCCCCTGGTTAAAAGGGCGTGTCTGCTTTTACTGCCCCAATGCTTCTCTGAGCTGATGTTTCCATCCACTCTGTAGGGAGATGAAGGAAAGAGGGGTTTCCCAGGAGAGAGGGGAGAGAAGGTAGAGTCAAAGTCAAGCTTGGAGTTGTGTGTATGTGTGTGTGTGGCATGTCGAGATCTATTCATGAATGGCAAGATTACAGACGTTGCAGCTGGGGTCTGGATGATTGAACACTGGCAGAGCTGCTGTCTGTCTTTGAAAACAAAAAACCTGAAACCCATCATTAAATTAAAATCCAATTCTCCAATCCAATTCCGACTGTTATACTGTAATGGCTTAATAAATAACATGGTCATTAGCAGCGCTTTATTTTCAGATGTGCTCTCAGAGGCTTTACTTGGCAAGAAGGAATACTAAGCATTTGTACTTTGTAGTTATTTATTTTTTGTCATGGTGGTTCATCTCGCCCATTTGGTGTCTGGTAAAGCTGTTTGAGCGATAGATAGATAGATAGATAGATAGATAGATAGATAGATAGATAGATAGATAGATTGTGTGCAATAAAATATCGAGTGTTTGATGTAGTAAAATGTGCCATGATATATATATATATTCTCTCTGGCCACTCCAGGGCTGCACAGAATCTGGAAGGATTTATGGGCACTATAACAAATTGTGTATCTTCAAATTTTTTCCCAATTCTGTTTTGGTTAAGTTTTTTTGTTTGTCTAAGTGAAATTGTGTCTCATATTCAATTAGTGAATTTTTCTAATTTCTGTACTGCTACTCTGATGGACTCCAGCACCTACAGCAGTTATTCTTTGGCCATAGTAGCATGGTTGCAGCCATGTGGATGTGTGTTTTCTCCATTAAGCCTCACAAATGGACAGATGGGGGGAAGAGGAAGAAAAAGTAAAAAGCGGAAAACTTCAAGGGAAGTGATTTTTCGCTGCAATCCAAAGGAAACAGCGATCTGGAAAGGCTTTCATTTTTTAATAATAAAGAGAAAGTGCTTTTGCAGGCTGATCCTTCAATGTTAGATCCTGTTAGGTCGCCTGAGGAGTTGAGGCTTCTATCAACCCAGGGAATATATCTGTTCTATATATAATCTTAGAGAGCTGGCTGCTGGTGCCTTGTGCCAGAGTGAAATAAATGGGGTAGAGGTAGGGGTTTTGCGGTATACACAATAACCATTAATATCTGCATGGTGCCGACCACAAATGATGACTTCTCTAGACTCAACCTCTTTGGTTCCAAAGCTCCCAGCAGGCAGCAAGCCTATGTCTAGCCATGAAGGAAGCAGACACAACTATCACCTCAGGACCATCTGTCACTGTGCTGAAATACTCTACTGCCTTGCTTAAGACTGACCTAATAAGCTCTGTCTTTAAAAACGGCTTTGATTTTACTTTCCCTGTGGGAACTGAGAGCAGCAACAGACGACGAAAGAGAGAGTGGATTTCATGACAAAGGATAGTGTGTGCCAACAGTCGCACTTCTTTGACTGAATAAAAAGGTATCTCTGCCTTTTTCCTTTCACCACAAATGAAAGACAATGAGCTACCCAGCTGGAGGAAATATTATAAGCAGAGTGGGGAAGGTGGCAATTAATATCTCCAATCACCTACCTCATTCTATTCACTCTATTATTCTTCACAGTGACCATATCTGTATGCTTCTTTTATCTCTCTATAAGCAAACTGAAAAGAGAAAAACCTGAAACTCCTGCACTGATCAGAACACAGTGGCGACAAGGTTGGGTTATCCATGTTACACTTTGTTACTGAGCAAGATAGCAAATATTTATGGTCCCCAGAAGATGATTCAATTTCTCTTTGGGACACCCCATGAGCAACAACCCCAATATTTTTAGCATTTGGTGTCAATTTTTAAAGTCCTGTGTGTAAGATCTAGTGATATCTGGATTGTCTGTTCTGGGCTACTGTAGAAACATAATAGTTAAACACGGCGGACTCAATGGAAAGCAACCCACTCCCTCTGTAGATAAAAAACCTATTCTAGATGAACAAAAACATAGCGATTCTTACTTTCAGGTGATTATTCACTAATGAAAACAAACCTATAAATATTATATTACATTTCTGCCAATAGATCATCCTAAATGTTACACATTGGACCATTAAGGTGTCTATTTTTATAAGAGTTTTGTATCAACACGCTGATATATTGGTCTTAGTCTAATCCTGTCCATCTGTTACCAAGTATACAATTTCACTGTTTATTGTACACATGGAAATTGCACTTGTACATGTAAGTCATTATAGAATCCCTGGCGGTGAGTAGTAGCTTCACTGCGTCCGTGCACTAAGACGGAGTGTGACAGGAAGACTTGGCTGCAGCACAAACAGAATAAAAACAAGAGATCCTGCAGCATCACAACGATTACAGTTCTGTGAGGGTGACTGATTCAAATTCATCCCTCTTTGTACTTGTCCTCTGAAGTGGGAAGGCTGTGAAATGGCATGCTAGTGTTACAGATCCATATGGGCCAACACCCACTTTGTGTCATTGAGAGAGATGTTAAAATAGAAACATGGTGGACAAACCTATGAGGCGACTAGAGGACTGCTACAAGCTGATAGGAGCAATTGTAGATCAAAGGGAGATGTTGTTTCCTGTTAGAGGCAGTTGGTTGTTGGGGAGCGTCTCTAATGAACCCCTCTGAACATTTAGATCCATCACCACCCAGGTCCTCCTGAGGGTAGCAGGGCTAATAGAGGTCCAGCAATGCTTTTATCTGACCACAAACTCATGTATGTGAGCAGGCACATAGGCTTGGAAAAGAACTTTCCAGTTTACAGTTATGACAATATCAGAGAATGAATGCTTTTTGTATTGTCTCAATGGTCGCTGGATGGTATAAGAAAAGTTAATTAAGAAGCAAGTAGGAGTGTTTAAATGTGTTATAATGTCAGTAGTAGTAGCAGCTTCAGCAATAGCAGTGTTATCAGTAGCTATACCAGTTGGAGTATGTTGTACTTCTCAAGTCAAAGTCAGTCACATTTAAATCTCTGAACGACACCTGTGTCCGCTCGTCCTTACTCCCAAGTTGTCAAATATGGCTTTAAGTTACCGACATTGTTCGAAGCGAAGGGCCACTGATCAGGCTGCCTGTGAGAACATGTTGCCTGTACACATTAGCTTATGTGAATGGTGTCTGGGTATAAACAGGGTGGGGGTTAATGAAATGTATGTTTCATTACACAATAAATTAGTTTTCAAATTAAAATTTAATGGGAAATGTACTTTTTGATATGTGCTGGTTTACTTGCACTAACTACTGTATTCTGTAATTTTGTAAATTTTTATCCTTGGATGCACTCATAATACAGAAACTGACCTTTTCTGCACAGTATTCATGGGTTAAGCAGGTCAGAACTGTATGATAATGAGCATAATCCATTGCAGTAATTTCTGGTGCATTGTGGCTCCTAAAAAATAGCCACAGCCTCAACACAGACAAAAGCGCGCACATCTTGGCTTTTATATATTACCGAACTGACTGCTAGAAATTGAAATGGAAGCATTAGAACCAGTGTTGCCCTACTCTTTAGTGGTCTCCAAAACCCCAAAACTGTTTTCAAGATTTCAACTTCTTGGTATAGGAACTTGAAATGCCAGTAAGACAAGAATGAGGGTTAGTCAACAGAATTTAACTCATGCGTAAAAAATATTCACTATTTTGTCTTTTGAAGCTTATTTGAAGGAGCTTGTTTAAATTATTCCTGCATCATCTCTTTCCCTTTTACATGTTGCTATGCAGGTATTTTCAGAGTCTTCTGTGATAAACTATTATCCTCACTTTACAACATGAGCAATTATGTTAAAGCATCATCAGACAAACAGTTGACAGCATAGCGTTTTCACTGGGGCAAACAGGATCGCAGGAACTCCCTCCACCAGCCAGCCGTGTCTGTGCTTGTGTGGTCACAGCTGTTGCTGTACATCATCTTTAAACCATCCATTCATTAATCTGAAAAGAGGAGCAATAGCACAGATGAACTAAATTACTCAAACATGTTTTCCTTTTTATTTTTAACAACCAATTTCAGAGGGTTCAACATGCTGTGGTAGGCACGTGACAGATGCTAATCAGTTACAGTTTTAAATTTCACTTTATACTTTTACATTCTATGTTTTACATTCAGATTTTGAGACAATGAGCCTCTTGCACCTAAATCCTCCTATAGGAAAAAACACCCAGACTGAAAGAGTTATTTTGCAGTGTTGCATTTTGCCGTTTTGTGCTTTAACCTCTCCCATACAAAATTGACTCAGATGTCTCATTTGTAGTAATTTTGTGTCTCTTGGTAGTTTTTCGCATCACTGTGTAGTTGTTTTTTGCCTAGGTTTCTGCTTCTTAAAAGGCAATTTTTCCTGGCCCCCATCGGCCAAGTGGCTTGCTCATGGTTGGAACTGTTGGGTCTCTGTAAATACATGTTATAAGGAGTTCGGTCTAAGGGAACGCTGCTCTATTTGAAAAAGTGTCCTGAAGATAACTTCTGTTATGAATTGGGCGGCTATAAACAAATAAAATTGAATTGAATTAAAATTGCCTTTTAATCTGTTTTTTTAGGCTGTTTTGTGTCTTTTTTATAGTTGTTTTAGTCTAATTTGTTAGTTGTTTTGCCATCTTTTTTGTAGTTATTTACTCTTTGTGGTTGTTTTGCATGTTGTGCATGTCATTTGATTGACTTTTCAACAACAAATATTGATTGTCACTTCATACACTCAGAGACTCCCTGACCCTTCGGGTCCCTTGACCTGTGCCCAGTATGCCCATTCAGTAATCTATCCATCTAACTGCATTTATAATTGCTTTCTAGATGCATGCATTTTTCAACATCTTTAAGATAAAACTACAACTTACATCAACTGTCCTTTTTTTCCCTTTCCGCCATCTTTGACCTGTACACCACCTTGGCCATTGTAGGGAGAATCAGGTTTCCCTGGCACTCCTGGGTTTAAGGTAAAGTAATTTACTGACCAGTGTGTGTGGCAGTTATTACATACCCAATCAGATCAGTCGGTCATAAATGTCTTTCTTCCACTGTAAAGGGCCAGGCTGGCATCCCTGGTACCCCTGGCATCCCTGGCAAGAGGGGCTACAGGGTAGGCCTGGAATGGAATGAGCATCCTAACTGTCGGGTTGTGTTTCTGTCAGTCATCCTTATTCCTCTAGTAACTGGACAATATCGGATATTCATCACATCAGTGTTTTGTGTTTGTGGCTGGCCAAAGCTCCAATTAATGTGCTTCTTGTGCCGTTAGCTGTGCTTCACGCTTGTTGGAGTGCTGTGGTCTTTATAATGGATGGTATAATTAGTCAGCCTTAATGACTAGTTCAGAACTGGGCTGGCTAACTCTTAATTGTTGTTCTCTACAAACCTTACCAAACCATTTGTTGGTCATTTCGAACAACACTCACATATGCTTTCTTTGATTAATTTTAAAACCATTCATGCCGTGATCTGTGGGAATTTAAATGTTATTTGACAAAATAGTCTTAACTCAAGTCGACTTTCTAGCTTACTAACTTTCTACAACTACATCTCACAGTCTCCATCAGCGGATTGAGTGTGCTCAGTTGTCATGGAAAGTTACAAGTAGTAGTTACACCTTCCATCTCCGCTGGTGCACCCTAAAGACAGGACTAGGTGCAGATTTAGACAAATGTTGACAACTGAGCTATCTCCATGTCAACTGAGCAAACTTATTTCACTGATGAAGGTAGTGAGATGCAGATGAAAGCTGGAAAAGGCTAGTAAGGGGACATTGGGTCAAGATTCCTTGAATTAAACTATTATTTCCCAGGGTCAAATGGACTTTTATGCTCTAATCAAATGCTGCTTGCTGATGTAGATTTCTTTCTTTAAAATAAAGTAACAATTTTCATTCCATGTAATCACATGGACATGGACATTATTTTACTACGCAGATATATGCAGCTCCTAGTGGCCTTGTATTGACTGGCTATTATTTGTTAACCTCTACATTGGCAAATACATAATGAATTTCTTTTTTATCTATTCATTGGATTATTCAGTAATGGTAAGGTACTGCATTCAGTCAAGGGTTTTTGTGATAGAAAAGGAAAATTTAGATATAAAGAAATACTGATACAAAATTGACAGCAACATTGATGATATTGCACATGAAAAATCTGTATTTATTAGTCAAACCCTATTTGATATTGATATTGGTCTACTTAATTGTAACACGTTTTACTCAAGTAAGCTAACACTTTTTTCTCTATGTACGGCAGGGTGAGAAGGGAGAGCCGAGCATTACAGCCCAGGCAATTAAAGGAGAACCAGGTTCACCAGGACTGCCAGGCCTAACAGGACCTAAGGTAAAATGAAATAGTCCAAACTGATCAGTGCACCCAGATTATTCAGTAACACTTCAACAAAATCTATATGCTATTCCTCTTACAGGGTGACAAAGGCGAAAATGGAGACAAGGTAAGAAAATACATTATTATTAAATAACTTTTTCATGAGAAGACTACTTTCTAAATTACAATACAAGTTGAGAATGTTTATGGAGAATCTGAGTGTTATACCTTCATTTATCCTTTAGGGGGAAGCAGGTCTCGAAGGCCCTGCTGGACCAAGAGTAAGTCATGACAGACTCATAGCACTCATGGCAGACTTATAACATGTTTCAAATATTAACATGTGATACAAAAAATATCCAATTTATGATTAGATTAGATTAGATTAGATTAAACTTTATTGTCATTGCACAAGTACAAGTACTAGACAACGAAATGCAGTTATGTCCATGATTAAGTTTAGAAAATGGTCATTTTCTCTTTATAGGGTCCACCAGGCCCAACTGGGGAGCCAGGAAAAGCTGAAATCCAGAACAATGAAAATGTATGTATTGAGATGCACTTTTCTTAGACGTAGAAAAAGTAAAGAATGAAATAAAGATTATTGTTAACCGTAAATATTCCTCCACAGGATATTCGCAACATACCCCTGATGGTAAGTACTGTCTAGGGTCTATCAAGGCACATGCAAAATCTACTTTTTGAAAGTCTATCAAAGGACATGATCTTTTTTCCTCCTAGGGCCCCCCTGGATTACCTGGACCTCCAGGGGTCCCTGGACTCCCTGGCACCAAGGTAGGGGACATCTTAGAACAGACACTTAACACGTGATGTTATGTACACACTGTATTTCAAAGATGAGCCACTGTAGCAGCCGTTTTGACATTGGGTTAGGGATAGGGCTAATAGTAATGGTATATTGATGTAATCAAAGACACTAATTAAGGCGCTATTCCATTTAGTGTAGCACAGCCATTCCAGGGAGCCAATATGCACAATAGCAGCACCCTGAATGGAACGGAAGCTTGATTAGTATCTCTGGTAACACCTGTGTTTAGCCTACTGTTTCACGTCAAAATGAAACATACGTATACATTTTGTGGTCATTTGATCAAATACAAATTTTTTCTTTTTTTTCTTTAGGATTATGCATTATGCATAATATATGAATATAAAAACTAAAATAATGCAGGTGTTAGATCTTGACATAGGTCCCCTTTAAAGACACAGCCAGAGGATTAGGTAATAATGCAGGGCATGCCTTAGGTTATATTGTAAAGGCGTAGCATGAGCAGCATGTTAGCAGAGCAGCAGCTTCAGTGCTTCTCAGTGTCTAAGCAGTGTTCAGACAGTATTGAGTCGTAGGTCACCTGGCATTTTTATTTTATTATTACACCTGAGAGTCTTGGCCACCGGGGTAGTTGCCTGCTTTGCTTAGTTGGTAATCCAGCCTTGGTATGTTCTCAGGGTGAAGTGGGTCTACCAGGTGCTCCAGGACTGGATGGAGAGAAGGTAATACTTAGTTATTAGTACTCCATATTACTAACTGGGCTTTTTGATAGTTACATGAATACACATTATGATAGAAGTCGATCGATTGCGATGACAAATATATAGGAGTGATGAGACCTCTTGTGTTTTCAGGGACCCAGAGGGAAGCCTGGAGAGCCTGGTCCTTCAGGCCCAGCTGGTCCTGAAGGTCCCAGAGGGGAGGGTGGTGTCATGGGCTTCGCAGGACCGAAGGGAGACAAGGGAGACGTGGGTCCTTCTGGATCACCTGTGAGTGACTGTGTTAAGCACACACCACACACACATCACATCACTGCCTGGGGTTCCCTGACCAAAGCCAGAGTCCCACATCTGTCATTATCCAGAGGGGAGGCCTTGGTTTTTCCAGCTGCCCTCTTATTATCTAATTAGAGACTCACTAGCTTGGAAGAGACACCAGGAATTACAGCATTTAACTTCACTGTGGTATTGATCCCAAATGTGCCCCCAAAGGGCTATGCTATTTTTTAGCCCACTGATACTTTAAGAGCCTCCCGTAAATAAAGTCATTCCTATATGCAGCTATGGCCTAACTACCCAAATCTTTTACTCAAGCATACTACAAGGAGTTTTTAACTGGTTATCTCAATTTAATACTGATGTATTTTATACTGATATATAACCTACATAAACAATCAAGATCACCAGTGAGAAGGCTATTTCTATATAGTTATTCATAATGTCTGCCACCAGGTCATATAATTTTAGATTATATGTTAAATAAATATATTATTTCTGACACATCTATGTATAGGATGCATTTTATTATTGATTTTAACCTCTTTGTACACTGAATTATTAATAATTTTTTTCCCATTGCTGATACAAAAAAAAAGAAAAAAAAACTATTTTTATTATTTAAAATACAAAAAAGAAGAAACCAATTCACAGAGGTATACTGCCCCTGGTGCAGATTGGTATGAAGTTTTGGTAGTGAATACTAATAGGGTAACAAAAAACAACTTTCTCAATGGTCTTTTATGCTTTGATTCTAACATGAAGATCAACTCATTGGTCCCTAAATTGAAATGCTCCGCTGTTATTGTGATCCCTATCTCCCCTTCCTTGTTCTGTAGGGTTTAGATGGCCCTACGGGTGAAAAGGGGGCTACAGGGGCCCCTGGCTCTATTGGATTACCTGGTGCAATGGTACGCAATGGTGCCCCTCAGGCTGAACGTCTGACCTGACAAAGGGGGAAGAGAGAAATACATTTTGTATTCACCCCAAATGCTGAAGAGTGTTGTGTTGCCTCATTTTTAATAATTTGTCTGACGAAGGAATATATCATCAAACTTGTGTCTTTGCCATCTATTGTCACAGGGTCCTAAAGGCGAGCATGGAGAAGGAGGAAGGTCTGAAATGGTAAGGGTCAGTCATTAACCCACAGGTCTGATTAGTGCACTTCATGGTAAAGTAGAGTATGATTTATAAGTAATATATTTTTTTTATTATTAAAACCTTATGTTTGTGTGTTTAGATCTATGGTCCCCCAGGACCTCCAGGACCAGTTGGCCCAGCAGTGAGTCAAATATGCTATTTAACTCCTACATTGAAAGACTAACTACTCATGCTTATGCCTTACACATCCGTAGAATGTTTTCAGTTAATTTGGCTGATTAGGCCTTAGCTCAGGTTGAAGTTGGGAAGAGGTGAGCAAAATTACATGAAATCTCCAAACTTCATGAACCAATAAGAATAATACAATTTTAAAACACTTAACAGCTGTAATAAGAGAAGGGTTGTCCATCAAGCACACCTGCCCACACAGTTGTAATTATGTAAAATAAGTTAAAACACTTGGGGAGACCATCAGTGTGCAAGAATAATAAGAGACTGGGTCTGTGTTTAGAGGTAGCACACATGTTTGGACATCAAAGCAAATTTTAAATGTAGTCAGGTGACAAGGACAAAGGCTAAAGATTTGCTCCAGTTTATTTCATAAGCTAAAAATTGTAATTAGTGATCACGCTACATTTAACCAGTATATTATACTATCGTCTGCATATAAGAAAATTCTGTATTCTTTTTTATACATTTTTATATCTTTCAAAGGTCCAGTGTGTAACATTTAGGAGGATTGAAATTGCATATAATGTTCATAGGTATGTTTTTATTATTTTATTATTTATTATGTTCAATGTTGAACCGTCATGTTTTGCAGCCATTGCCATTTATCCTACACACTGGGAAATATTGGCTGTATTCAGATTGTTGCAATCTGCAACTTCACTGCCAGTTTAACTGAATCCTACACACTGGTACTTTAAATAATTTTGTGAATTGTAGGTAATGACCATGCCACGTTCAAAAAGTATAGTATACTATCATCTGCATATAGGCAAACTCTGTATTCTTTTTAATTAATACTTATAACAAAAGTTTCCAACATCGTTTTCTACAATTCATAATCATCCTGTTTAACATGGAGGCGAAAAAAAATTATGAAATAAATATAATTATTAATTGTGGCTCAAATAATGCCTAACTTGGGTGTCTACTCAAATAGTCACAAATGGAATGCTCTGGAAACAATTGGGACACAGTATAGGTTGTGTCAGTAATCTCACTGTTTTTATTTCATCCAGGGATCTCAAGGACCTTCAGGGCCTAAGGTGAGATATTATTTTCATAAAATAAAATAAAACATCTGCCTCCATTTATATGTTCATCATAGATATTATTTGCATGAAAGTGTAAGTATAGGATTAGATGTTACACTTTCTTTCAGGGAGAACCAGGCATAGGCATCAGAGGAGAAAAGGGAGCGACAGGTCAGAAGGGTGACAAGGGAGACAGAGGCCATCTTGGACTCCCTGTAAGTATGCCAGACCTGCTGTCCATTTCAAATTTCTTTGTTTTCTGTGTGTGTTCTATCCTGCTGTTCAGTTTTCTTACTCAACCTTGATTATTTTAGGGATTATATCACTGCTTTACTACAAACATGTTAGCAATATAAAGTACAAATCTTACAAACCTGTGTTGCTCTAACCCTAGTTTAGGCAGTGTTGTTGACTGATGTTTGTCTCAGATGTTGCCTTTATGTCTTCATAATAATCTTGCAATGTTGCATGGAAGGGCAGATTGTGACAAAGGAAGTAATCAAAATAACACTCCAAATCAATGACCTTTTGTATGTTTTCATTCAAAATGTTATTCAAATGTTTGGTTTGTTTTATAGTTATTTTGCACTTTTCAAAATAGTATCTATCACTTTGGGGTTCTATTCTTTCTTCTCATTTTACAGTCAGAGTCACATTTAAGTTTATTTTAAAGACCGAAGCCGTTGTTTTTTGATGATGAAAGTCTGAAATTTGGTATTGAAGGGGTTAGAGGAAAGTCAAATCCTTACCTTAAAGATAAGTCTGGTGATATTGTTTATGTTTTTTTTATTGCCAACAAATCCTATGAAAAGACCAAAAGCAATGAACTGCTCCTATTACTCCAAATACTCACTAGAGCACCAAATGTGAATTCATCTACTGCTGAAAATGCACTATTTCCACCATTTTTTCCCTCCTTTTACATTTTCTGGGTTTGAAAAGTCAGTTCTTCATTTCACACAAAGAACTTAGAGCTGTAGCTACTCCTGTTTGAGCAACTTTGTCACAAAGACAATATTTAATAATTTAATAAACTGCTCCTAGTGAGCAGAGTAAGGGACTAGGGACTGAACATTTATCATGGTTCGAAATGTTTTCATTGTTGTCAAAACAAACAACCATATCTTAAAATGTATTAAAGACACAGTTTTCCATCATACTGTATATGTTTTCTTCTTCTTCTTCTTCTTCTCAATGAATGCTGAGAAGTCTGCTAATATGTTGATCATGTTAGAAACTTAATTCAATTAGTTGATTTGACTCGGTACAGTGCAATTCAGTAAATGACATGTTGGCAGTAATATACAGAATGACACCAGAAGTGCCCTTTAAAAAAGAGACAGACATAACCTAAAAAAATATTTAAATGCTAGTATAAGTAATTTAGTGAATTGTAGATAATTGTCATGCTACATTCAAAAAGTATAGTATACTATCGTCTGCATATAAAGAAACTCTGTAGGGAGCAGCTAACAAGAAGGCAATATGAGACTGAATAATGCCCACCACACTTGCAGCTGGTACAGTATTTATAGAATCTACAAATGTGACGTTGTATCATGACGCTGACTGTGAAAACAGTCAAACTACAGGGCTGAGCAACAACATGGCTGTAGAATTTATGTCATCATAAGACGTTACTCACAATTACTGTCACTCACTTTACCTCCACCTCCGCCACTTCCATCACCTGTCATTTGTCATCATCTAAATATGTTTTTTGAGTCACTTGAGTCACAGCTTCACTCACCTCCCACCACCTCCCCATCCCAACCCCCACCCCCCACCTTCCTCCCACCATCTCCCCCATCATCTCTGCTCTCTAACTATGTACAACGCTATACAGGGGGCTCATGGGTTAGACGGCAGACCGGGTCCAGTGGTGAGTGGTGCAAGTCCTGCTCTGGTCCCCGCACCCTTCTCCTCTTCCTCCTACTCCTCCTCCTCTTCTCCTCTTCCTCCACCCCCCTGCTACTGCTTGCTTGATGTCTGCCATGTCTGCCTGTCATGTCCACTTGCTGTCCTTCTTCCCATGCTAGTCCTGTCTTTTTTCCTTCCTGAAGTAAATCTGTGAGGACAGGCCTGTTAAGGGTTGGGTTCTGAGGATGCACTGGCATGGAGAATCTGCAACATGGCAAACACAGTCAATGTCACCCTTATGCACCTATGGTTTATATTGGCTCATGTAAGATCAGCAATCATTAAAGTGTGGTTATAAGAAGATTTTCTTTCAAGTCTACATTCCATTGTGCATAAACGAGACACCCTATAGACATTATCCGTCTAGGCCTGGTCGATATGTGGTCGGCCAATACTATCTTATTGTAGAAGATTGTTTTTCAACTGTAAAATGTCCTGCTCACACCCATCTTGATGACAATTATCCAAAAAATAGATTTATATCAAATATTTTTAAACTTTCAAAAATATAGATTCAGCTTAATAATTACAATTGACCTTAAATCTGTTCATTATCTCCCACTACTACCACTATGATGGAATGTTGCTGTCTGATATTGGATGCCATAACAGTGTAAATCCTCAGTCCTCCATCCTGCCTCATGATCCTGTATCACCAGTGGGCTGCAGAGCTGCCATTATTAAGAACTATCCAAAAAGAGCATGCAGAGATGCCCATACTGCATGTTTACATGTCACACAGTGTATTTGGACAGCTGCATTCCATACAGCGCTGTACCTATACCGGATATGCCTGAGATGCAAGGTCTTCCTCTCCGATCCTGACTGCTATTCAGACTGAGAACTGCAGCTGTTGACATTTTATTCATTTTCCCTCCTTTTTAACGGTTCGGACAGTAGTTCAACAAGCTTGGTGTGTTCATTCATTTTTCACTCCAGATTAGTAAAAGAAATTGGTCTAAATAGTCCATGACAACAGAAGGCTTGTTGATTTACTGATTTGAAGCATTTACTGTTTATATTTCCTTTGGTACTATTCTGTTTATATCTGCCAACAGGTATTAATTTCCCCTATTCTGTTTTAAAGGGTCTAATAGGACCATCAGGTGTGCCAGGGCCAGCAGGACCAAAAGGAGAGAGAGTGAGTATCATCCTGTGGGTCTATTTTTTTCTGTTTTTATTCTAAAAGAAGTATATTAGGAGAATATACACTTTGAATTTTGTCCCACTATTACAGGGTGAAAAGGGAGATGCAGGATTACCAGGACCAATTGGCCCTCAAGGCATCCCTGTAAGTCTGTAATTCAATTTTCATCACAACAGGGAGTGTCTTTTAGCATTTGGTGCTTTCTCAGCTCTGATTGGTTGTTTTCGTTTAGGCCCGGTGCAAATGTCAATAGGAGCACTAGGAGGAGCCAGAAGAACCATATTTTTTCACAGATTATCTGTCTCATATTCTGTCAGGATTTAGTAAAAAAATCATTAATTTATATATTAAAATATAAAATGAAAATAAAATCAATTCTTTAAGTTTGACAACTAATGAAAACACAACAGACAACCTGTGACCATGACATTAACCTATATTTTTGTCTAACTATACAACAATATCAATATGTGTTACAACAATATGACTGTGAGGACATGACTTTTGAGATGCTGCATGTAGTCATAGCTCGGGTGTTTTCCAGTTTTGATCTGCTACCTAAATTGATTTAGCTCCTAACCCCCGTACTTTATAATATACCATCTTTATAAAGGTCTGCCTGGAGTAAAAAATTGCTGAGCAAACTGTTTAACCACCACTAGTGAAAGCCTCATCCTGTTGGAAACACGCTTGCACCCAATAGTTCCAATTATCGACACTAAAAAACTAGAGCCCAATGTATCAGTCGACCAATATTCTAAGCTAGTATTGGCTTATGGGCTTATTAAAATATTTTTTCAGAGTCCAGGGTCATAGTGCAGCACCCCTGGAGCAGTATTTGGGGTTCAGTGTCTTGCTCAAGGGCACTTATGCAGAGATGGTGGGCACCATTCAGTTCCCAGCTCACAGCTGGAATACACCCTCCTGTTAGCGTCAGTGATTGAGTGAGCAATCTTTTGGTTACTGGCTGGCGTCTTTAACCAATTGGTAATTGGTGTCACTGCAGAGTTTCTCCAGCAGAGTGTGCTGTGATTTACAATACTGTGTCAAGCAGCAAGGAAGAAGAAGCAGCTCTCAGCAACTTGACTTGGTTGACAATTTATCTGTTCAATTATTTAACATGTTAAAGAATATTTAAGTTGAATACTCTTTAATAAAGTTTGTTTAAGAAATCAGCCTTCTAAATACCTTTGCAGTATCATATCAGTGCACAATCCATACAGAAAAAGGTATATTTTCATTAATTCCCTCTAAATATCCCCTCTAAAATCAGTAACTACTAAAAATTCTGTATCAGTTGGCACAACAGGTTTTTGTATCTTTTACTACAAATGTTTAAAACACTAAACAATTTTATCCTCAGTCTGACAATCATGAGGTAAAGAATAGTATTATATCATATTACAATGTAATCCACCAGGAAAGTGCGCTTACATATATGTGACAGGCCAATGCAGGTTGTTGCATTGTGGTAACAACTGAGCCAACTTCCTTCCTGCACTGACCTGTGCTTTTCTTCCTCATTGCAATAAATGAAGGGTCACAGTGCTGATGTCAGTTTGAACATGGCCTAAGACACCAAACAAGCATCTCTTCCAAAGTGAAACAAATATGCAGATTAACTAATGATTGTAATTTCTCATTTCTTTTAGGGTTTAGTAGGACCACAAGGACTCAAAGGGAACCGGGTAAGATACCACATATAATGCTTTGCCAGTTATAAAGATAGCAGAACAGGGGGCATGATTCTGGCTAACGGACACACATAGATTTCATTTGTGGAATACACTTCAATGCTTTTACTCATTCAATGCAGAACCTGAACTTAACACTTTCTGAATATTTATGAGTCATATCAACAACAAGCCAGGCTGGTATATGCATCTAAACTACACAGCACTATTTAACCTCTGCCAGTATTGCAGCAACTGCCGCTTAGGGCCGTGATAGGTCACCAGAGCAGAGTTGTGACGACTTCAAAGACGCTCTTGAGGAGGAGATGAGAATTAAAGAGCTGAATATCAATAAATAACATCTCTTTGATGTCATGCATAAAAAGAAAGCCAGATGAGTTAGACAGTTTGCTTTGATTTTTTTGATCTGAATAATTCACAATCAAGATTGCCTTTCTGAGGCAAAATATATTTGTTTTGCAGTGGCTTTGTTTTGAAACTGAGCGTCATAAAACTTAAAAGGAATAATTCTTGATACTACTCCAAACAAGATGTTTTTTATCAAAGAAAAAAAAATGTAATACTGTTGTAGTACTGCTGTTTTATTGTATGGTATGTCACATCATAATGTGGATTCGGTTTTGGCTTGAATTTGAAAGATGGATATCAGTCTCATGTCATTTAAACAGCTATAATCAATATTAGTATATGCAATCGATATGTGTAAGAGGTGAAATGAGTTTTCGCAGAGAATCATCACCAACTCTGCAATTCCCCTCAGTTCTACAGAACTTTATATCTACTTTCAGCTAATTGTTGTTTACAGGAATTTGAGACTGTCTCTGCTCTTACAGCGTCATTCCCAGCAGCAGCGGCATTGTTTTTAGTGAAGACCTCTAAAATCCCACTGTATGCTACTAAGCACTAAACAGCAGACAGGCAAAGTTGGCGACTAGCTAGTGAACATAGGGGCGCATTTAGTGGCTAAAGAGACAGATTTTGTATTTTAGTCAACATAGTAAGGAATCAAATCTGCCAGGGGGGTCTGGGCTTTCTGATACCTCCAGGCTTTTTTAAGGATGGTTGTGGCCTAAAATGCCTGATTTCACAGCAGCTTTTCTAAAACAAATATTTGTAGGCATTTCTTGCAATGACATTGAAGTAGTAAGTGAAAATTGTGAAAATATTGCAAATGTTTTTGTTATTGAAATATCAAAGGCAACTCATTCCAGTGAGAATAAAATTGCACCATTTGGAGTTTTCCAAGTAACCTTACCAAAAAGGTACAGGACTGATTCATGCTAGTTCAATACGCCTGTGAGCACCATTGTTGGTCACTGGGTGAATATGTGGCTAATTAACCTTGCAGGTAATATAGCTATGATGATTACCTTAAGTGATGGTTGATTAGCGCTCGCAAATCATCACGTTTTCACCACTCCATGCAAATACTTATTTCCACAATTACAGGTTTGGAACCAAAGACCAAAATGTTTGCTCACTGACCATATCTGGCAACACACACTTTAGCCAGAGTTGCTGCACCAGCTAAAAAGCTTAACTTTTGACAGAGCCAAGTTAGATGTTTCCACTTGCTTCCTGTCTTTATGCTAAGCTAGGGTAACCAACTCAACCTCTGTACTTAACAGACAAAAATGAGATTGATATCCATCTGCTTACTCTAGGAAATAAAGCAAACTTGCCCAAAATATTTAAAAATTCCTTTAATTGGCACTGACTTTCAAATGATACTGTGTAATTGTATTTTATCTCCAGGTTACAGTGTATCAAAGAATCTGTTTGTAATGTCCACACACCCTTCCTCTAAGAGAATGTTTCTGTTTCCTTCCCATTAACCTGTGACTCTTTTAATATTTCCACTCCCATCTTTTAAGTTTTCACATTTCATAAGCTCTCTCAGCACATTCAACTGGCCTTAAAATATTAAACAATATTAAATAACATATAGCTATGAACAAATTCACCTCTGATAAACAGATTTGAATGTGACTGTCCAGTTGAAGGTGTTGAAGACAAAGCTATGGGATAGTGTTGGTGTTTTTACTCTTTGTCCTGTCTTCCTTTGTTTCCGCAGGTCTTCCTATCCCCTTTTACTTCCCTCCACCTTGCTCTTTGGCCCGTGGCTCTTTTTATTGCCGGGGTTGCCCTCTCTCCCTCTTACAAACCTTGGCCTCCTGCTCCTCCTCTTCCTCCTGCATTCTAACGTAGTCATGGGTTAATCTTCCTCCTCTTACACCTCCCCTATATTTCCCCTACTCCTTAACAGTACCTCTTCCTTGCAAGCCTTCATGTACCCCCTCCAACCCCAGACCCATACCCCAAATTGGCAAGCAGTGCAATGCTAGCACACCAAACATTTTGCACGTTTCTGAGCTTTAGCAACATTTGTTAGAGTTAAGTGAGATTCCATTGTGAACAAGATTGAAACTCTCAACATGTGCTGTGTCTTTTATAAGGAGTACGGTCTAGACCTGCTCTATTTTTTATAGTGTCCTGAGATAACTTCTGTTATGATTTAGCGCTATACAAATAAAATTGAATTGAATTGAATTACAACTGGTGCAGATAATTCATATGCCCCATTTGTAATCTTGTTAGGATTTGCACACTAGTGAAAACTCGTGGAGAGGACTTCATAATTTCAAAAGTGGCACAACAACTCAAAAAATAACAAGACTGCACAAATAAAGTGTCACTTACAGCGACTGCATGAATGTGAGCCTCTGCTACTAGCAACACTCACAGCTGGTCTTTGCATTTGAGCCATTTAAGACAGAAGCTTAAACCTCAAGAAAGTCTAAAATTAGATTGTGGTTACGTAGGTGATAAGGCAGCCCTGGGAGAACATTGCAGTCAGGCAGCCTATTATCGTTCTTATCATATTGTATTCCCTATACATCATTTTGTCACTTTATCTGATCTCTTACAGCCTTCTTGGTGAGCAGGTGTTCTGTTAATACTATGATTAAAGGTCCAGTGCATAAATAATTTATAATATATAAATATGAAAAAAAACTCTGGGAGATGGAAACACTTTTTCCGAATAAGTTCAGATGTAGCAAACATTTAATTCACATGACTAATAAGTTATTTCCTCTTGTCATCGCTACCATGGCTCTATAATAAATCGATGATCACTCCACACAGATCTGAATTACCTCCCTTGCATTAATTTGTGAAAAAAACGTCAGTGTTTCATCCTTTTTTCTTTGTTTTTCATCGTTTGAGCTTTGACTGGCACTGTTTTAATTATATTATCTTGTTACGCCCTCTTCTTCTGGTTTTCCTGCTGCTTATCTCGTGAACCAACTTCTTATATTCCCATAATGGTAGTGGACGGAAACAAGTATTCATTCTTATTTTTATTTGCAGAATTACTCAAAATTCACTTAAAATTTGTCTTACATTTTGATGGAAACACGGCTATTGTTAGACTCATGATGGACAGGTCAAAGTAAAAAAGGTTGATGCTGCAGAACCAGACATATTGTGTTCTCTTGCCCTACATTACCCACAATGCAACTCGACCCCCGACACAGATTTGAGTGCGTTATGGTATAAGCTTTGAAAACATAATTAGATGCCACTAACAGCATGATGACAATGTAGCTTACAAAATTGTTACAAGTCACTGTTAACCCCTATGGTTAAGATTTGCCATGAAAAGATTATGGTTGGTTGGTTGGTTAAAGGTCCAGTGTTTAACATTTAAGAGAATCTATTAACAGAAATGGGATATGATATTCAGTGGTATGTTTTCACTAAATTCAAAATACTCCTCACAAAATTATTTAGAGACCCAACAATTCCCACCACATGCAAGCAAAAAGCGAGGGGGAAAGGGAAAACTTCTTTTAAAGAGGCAGAAACCTCGAGTAGAACCCTGCTCTAGGCTCTAGCTCATTACTGATAATAGTCATCTGAATATAGGAGTCATTACGTTTGTGTTACCTTAGAATGAGCCTTATATATCTACAGATGCCACAGGTCACCTTCCATGGAGTCTGCCATGTTGAACAGCCATGTTTTTTGCAGTAGCCTAGAGTGGCTCTTCATGTATTTAGAGGCCACCGTAGTTTCTCTTTTGCACTTGAAAGGGGATGGTGAAGCAAGGGAATTGCAATATGCAAGTACACCACTAGATACCACTAAATCCTACGCAATAGTCCAATTACTTTGTCCATGTTAGGGTAGTTTTTGCTAAAGATTAGGGTAAAAACCAGTACTAATAGACATCTGTCTATTCTATCTAATGTATTTTTAAATGTTACAACCATGCTCAATGAGACTAGTTGGAGTCAGATTTTTATGCAGTTGTAATGATCACTCAACTAAAATAGTTTCATGGCCAAGTGTTGGAAATGTCACCTCACATGGTTCATCTGCCACTTTAACTTTTCATATTATCATATATATATGTTCTGTTCAGCAGATTATCATCCATCATAAAATGAAAACATGACAGTAAGCCATACATGTATGAACCTTCTCACTTCACACTCGCAAATCTTCCAAAATCTACTTTTTCTGTACAGTAGTCCGTGGTAGGATGCTTGGATGAAATTTGCTCACCAACAGCACTGGCTTTAATCTCTCCTCCCTAACCCCCTCTACTTACCCTCCCTTTCCACTTAATTTACATTACAAAATCATATTGTGTTTTGAAAATAGCCAAAGTCACACCAAACACATTACTTAATTGAAATAACAGTATTCCTTATATTGCATAAAATACAAATATGTAAGAAATCCTGGCAGATGAAACCTTGCAAAAAAACAAGCATTTGCTTCATGTGTGGCTTATTGAGGAGGACTAAAGTTTGTCTTTTTTTAATACGCTGTTTGCAGGGAGAGAGGGGCAAGAAAGGCAACAGGGGGGCCAAAGGGGATAAGGGAGACCAAGGAGCACCTGGATTAGATGCCCCCTGTCCGTTGGTATGTCAGTAGTCCGATGTGTAACCAAGAGACAAAAGGAAGGAGCACTATCTTAGAATGCAACATAATAAAAAGACATTCTGAAGACATTCAATAGTCAGCTTCCTTTTGGCTCTGGTATTCAGTGGTTCTAATAAACCTCAGGTAGGGTTTGGTCAAAGTGTCCACTGGAGCCTATTAGATGGGGATATATGTGATTGAACTAATGATTGATTCTCAATTTGATGTTTCGATTTAAAAAAAGACAGCAAAGGAAAGGTTGTAGCGTATAGATGGAAATAGATTATCAGGTGAAAAATGACTTGAATGGACCACAGACCACAACCCTGCCTGGGGAGCCTCTTTTTTCCCCATGAGACGGACAGGAACAGACATCCACTGGTGATGACTATCAAAAAAATATGCTGTCTTTATTTTCAGCCTCCATCCTGTAGCTCTGCAGCCCTGTCCTTCTTGTTAAAGAATACAGGACAGGTTGGGGACAGTCAAACTAGAGTTCTGCACCCAAACCCCACCTGAAACTATGCCTTTAATACTGGGCCTAAAAAAAAGCGATGGGTTCTTCCACATTTCAGACCTGTACCAGACCTGAAACCTGTCCATTCCATTTTTTTCAACATCTGACTATTAGTTCACCAGGAGTAATACAAAACATTGGCTACACTCTGACTGTATTCCTTCAATTTATTGGGCACTTGGCACTTGCAACACATGTGCCAAGTGCCCAATAATTTGCACAGCCAGAAAGAGAGAAAGAGTTACTGAAAATAAAGTATCCCAGATGTTTCCTTCCCCAGCCACTTCCGCCAGCTCCTCCTGTTTGATTGCAGGATGTTCCCATAGGATGGGATCCCTACAGGAGCCATCCTCATCACATTCCTGCACCACCTTAGCTGACTCCTTTTGACCAAAAGGAGCAATGACCCAAACCCAAAGTTAACCCAAGCTCAAAATTACACAATAAAATGGTCCAAAGCTGATGTGAAACCCAATACTTTGTTCGGACTCTTAGGGTTTGGGTTGGTAGCAAAACTCTAAATCAAGCCCATTCCTGCAGAGAACTATCTTCTACTTTGTTATCAAAACAACAATTTGTCGTCACATTCTACACCTGAAAGCTCACCTCAGTGAGCCCAGTTCCTGTCAGTCCCAGGTTGCCTGCATGTTTAGGAAACCTGCATCCAGTCACCCAGTGGACAGAAGTGGAGATCCTCCTGCCGTCAAGCAGTGGAGGACAAACGCTCCTCTGCTACACATGAGCTAAAAAAATGGTTTTTAAATGGTTGATTTCACAAACAGGGTTTCCGAGGCTTTAAAGGGGAGAAAGGTGAACCGGGCTTACCAGGCCTGGATGGGCTGGATGCCCCTTGCCCTGTGGTATGGTGCTCTTTCTTTCCCTTCATTTTACCAGCATGCTTCTAGTTACCCCTAACAAAACCTCTGACCACACTCAGATGTTGCACTGTAGATTGACTAAAACGCATGTTTGCATGAAAGTTAAAATCTACTTATTGCAGCTGACTCACCTAGGCAACTGTTCCAACTGACCTCCCTTAGAACTAACATAAACAAGCCTTTCCCTCTGAAAACTAATACTCATTACTCATCATCTTTTCCATCACAACTACTGAACCTTTCTATGTTAAATCCACATGCAGAGCTATTATTGTGGCTAATATCATCAGTTACATAACCAGAAATAATTTGCAACCTAAAGCCTTGAAATTCTTATATACTAGAGCCTTTCTTCATAGTTCCTTATTTACTAAACCATCTCTTGCATGGAGCACCAGTTTTTCCACCTTCAAGGCAACAGAGTACCACAGGTAGCGAAAAGGAGTAGGAACTACATTAATTTATTTGGTCAAAGCAAGCCAGAGTCCTTGTATTACCATGGAAAGCATAGTGGCAGCATGGTTTGTTTTTTGGTTAAGTAGGGTCACCCATTGTTTTGGTTTCTGCTTTTGTTTCTACTGCTTTGGGGATAAGTTTGTAGAATTACATTTAGACACTGCTCAGAAAGTCATACAAAATGCTAGTTCTAGGTACTATCAGGAGTTGCTGGTGCTGCTGTGGTTTGTGATTGGTAAAGCTGGGTGGGCGGCTGTGGCTCAGAGGC